TGATGTTTGCTATGGGCTTTTTATTTATGGCCTTTGCTACATCGAATAATTTCTTCCTATTCCTAATTTGTCAAGAATTTTTATTATAAAAGAGTGTTGGATTTTGTCTCATGTTTTTTTTCTGAATCCACTGAGATAATTGTGTGATTTTTATCCTTTTGTATTAATGAAATGTGTCACATTGATCAGTTTTGGTATGTTAAACCATTTTGTATCCCAGGGATAAATTCCACTGGATCATGATGTGTCATCCTTTTAATATGCTGCTGAAATTGATTTGCTGGGATTCTGTTGAGTAGTTTTTGCATCTTTGTTTATCAGGGATATTGTCCTGTAGTTTTCTTTTCTTGTATGTCCTTCTCTGGCTTTGGTACAAAGTAGTCCTGTCCTCATAAGTTTGGAAGTGTTTCCTTCTCTACAGTTTTTTGGGAATTTGAGAAAGATTGGCATTAATTCTTTTAATGCTTGATAGAATTCTCCATTTAAGCTATGGGGTCCTGGGTTTTGTTCAGAGGTTTTGATGTATTAGTCAATCTCTTGGTTATTGTTCCAATTTTCGCCTTCTTTATAACTCAATCTTGATAAGTTTTCTAAGAATTTATCCATTTCTCTAGGTTATCCAATTTGTTGAATTACAACTATAATTGTTGATAGTAGTCTCCTATGACCCCTTTTTAGTTCTGTGGCAATAGTTACAGTGTCTTCTTTTTCATTTTGATTTTACTTGAGTCTCCTTTTTTCTATGTCTAGTTAATGGTTTGTCAGTATCATTAATCTTAAAGACCTTTTGTTTTGTAGATTTTTCCATTTTCCCAATTTTTTATTTCTACTTTAAACTTTATTCTTTTCTTCATTTTACTAACCATAAACATAGTTTGTTCTTGCTTTTCTAGTTTCCTGTGGTATAAAGTTAAGTTGTTTATTTGTGATCTTTTTTTTAACATAGGCATTTATCACTACAAACTTCCCATTTAACACTGCTTTTCTTGCCTCTCCCAAGTTTTGGTATGTTGTATTTTTATTTATCTAAAAATATTTTCTTATTTCTCTTCTGATTTATTCTTTAACCCTTTGATTGTTGAAGACTATATTGCTTAATCTCCACATATTTTTAAATTTTCTAGTTTTCCTTCTGCTGTTGTTTCATTGCATTGTAGTTGGAAGAGATATTTGATGTAATTTCAGTCTCCTTAAGTGTATTAAGTCATGTTTTGTGATCTAATGTGATCTGTCCTAGACAATGTTCTGTGGGTGCCTCTGTGCTGCTGTTGGATGAACTGTTTTGTATGAATCTGTTAGGTCTATAATTTTTAAACTCTGTTTCCTTACTTATTTTCTGCCTGGTTGTTTTACCCATTATTCAAAGTGGTGTATTGACGTTTTCAACTGTTATTATATTGCCATCTATTTCTCTCCTCAGCTTTGTCAGTATTGCTTTATATATTTGGTTCTCTGGCATTGAGTTCATGTATATCTACCATTGTTATATCTTCCTGGTGGATAGACCCTTTCATCATTTTTTTTTTTTTTGACAGGCAGAGTGGACAGTGAGAGAGAGAGACAGAGAGAAAGGTCTTCCTTTGCCGTTGGTTCACCCTCCAATGGCCGCCGCGGCCGGCACGCTGCGGCCGGCGCACCGCGCTGATCCGATGGCAGGAGCCAAGTACTTTTCCTGGTCTCCCATGGGGTGCAGGGCCCAAGCACCTGGGCCATCCTCCACTGCACTCCCTGGCCACAGCAGAGAGCTGGCCTGGAAGAGGGGCAACCGGGACTAGAACCCGGTGAGCCCGCGCCGCTAGGCGGAGGATTAGCCTAGTGAGCCGTGGCGCCGGCCCGACCCTTTTATCATTATATAAAATCCTTTTTTGTTTCTTGTGACAGTTTTTGAGTGAAAATCTCTGTACTCTGAATCCTGTATGGCTTTATTTTGGTTACCATTTGTGTGGTTTGCCTTTTTCCATCCCTTCACTTTCAGCCCATGTATGTCCTTTTTTTTTTTTTTTTTAAAGATTTATTTATTTTACTTGAAAGTCAGAGTTGCACAGAGAGAGGAGAGACAGAGAGAGAGAGAGAGAGGTCTTCCATCCACTTGTTTACTCCCTAATTGCCTGCAATGGCCAGAGCTGTGCTGATCTGAAGCCGGGAGCCTCCTCTGGGTCTTCCATGCAGGTGCAGGGGCCCAAGGACTTGGGCCATCTTCTACTGCTTTCCCAGGCCATAGCAGAGAGCTGGATTGAAGTGGAGCAGCCGGGTCTCAAACTGGCACCCATGTGGGATGCCGGCACTGCAGGTGGCGGCTTTACCCACTATGCCACAGCGCCGGCCCCCAATATATGTTCTTAAATCTAAAGAATTTAGGTCTCTTGTATACATCATATAGTTGGTTCTTTTTTATTATTATTATTCATGCTTCTATTCTGTGGCTTTTGATCAATAGTTTAGTCTGTTTACTTTTAAATTAATCATTGATAGGATTTATTATTGCCATTTGCTAATTGCTTTCTGTCTTACAGATCTTTTGTCCTTTTCCTCTCTTGCTGTCTTCCTTTGTATTTGTTTTTTTTTGTAGTGTAATGCTTTGAAGTCTTTCTCATTTTCTTTTGTGTATCTTCTATAGATTTTTTTTCTTTGTGATTGCCATTGGAATTACATAAAATATCTTTTAACAATCTCCCTTTTTAAAATTTTTTTAAAAAATTTATTTGAAAGGCAGAGATAGAGAAGGGAGAGAGAACCTCCATATGCTGGTTTACTTCCCAAATGGTTACAAGGACTGTGGCTGGGCCAGGCTGAAGCCGGGAGCCAGGAGCTTCTTCTGTGTCTCTCACATGGGTGCAGGGGCCCCAAGGACTTGGGCTATCTTCCACTGCTTTTCCAGGCACATAGGCAGAGAGCTGATCTGCAGTGGAGCAGCCAGTACTTGAACTGGCAACCATATGGGATGCCAGCATTGCAGGCGGCAGCAAGGTTGATTGGATGGTTGATTGATTTGAAAGGCAGAGGCAGAGAGAGAGAGAGAGGTCTTCCATCCACTGGTTCACTCCCCAGATGGCCACAACAGCTGGAGCTGAGCTGATATGAAGCCAGGAGCCAGGAGCTTCTTCTGGGTCTCCCAAGCAGGTGCAGGGGCCCAAGGACTTGGGCCATCTTCCACTGCTTTCCCAAGCCATAGCAGAGAGCTAGATCGGAAATGGAGCAGCTGGGACTTGAACCAGCGCCCATATGGGGTGCTAGCACTGCAGTCGGCAGCTTTACCCACTACGCCACAGTGCTGGCCCTGACACATCTTTTTTTTTTTTTTTTTTTTTTTTTAAGATTTACTTTATTTGTGGGGCCGGCACTATGATGCAGCAGGTTAATGCCCTGGTCTGAAGCGTCAGTATCCCATATGGGTGCTGCTTCGAGACCCACTTCCAATCCAGCTCTCTGCTATGGCCTGGGAAAGCAGTAGAAGATGGCCCAAGTCCTTGGGCCCCTGCACCCGCGTGGGAAACCCAGAAGAAGCTCCTGACTCCTGGCTTTGGATCAGCCCAGCTCTGGCTATTGCGACCAATTGGGGAGTGAACCATTGGATGGAAGACTCTCTGCCTTGCCTCTCTCTCTGTAACTCTGACTTTCAAGTAAAATAAATAAATCTTTAAAAAAAAAAAGATTTACTTTATTTGAATGACAGAGTGACAGAAAAAGAGAGATCCTCTGTCTACTGGTTCACTCCTCAAATGGTCTCAACAGCTGGGGCTGGGCTAGACTGAAACCAGGAGCCTGAAACTCCATTATGGTTGGTCTCCCATGTGGATGGCAGGGACCCAAGTAGTTGGGCCATTCTTTACTGATTTCCTAAACACATTAGCGGAGAGCTGGATTAGAAGCAGAGCAGGTAGAACTCAGACCAGTGCCTCAGCTGTGGCCCTAACATGTATCTTTTTATTGTAGAGCATGATTTTTATTCAAAAGAATGACTACTAACTGTTATCATTTGTACTTGATTATTTGTCAGAAATTTATTTGGAAATGAATGAAGTGAGCCTGTCACCTCAAGGAAAATAGCTTATAGTATTTGATGTCAGTGATAAAAATTCAAGTTTTTCAAATGAAAATTAGAATTTTGGAAAATTGTTATCTACCACCATGTGCTTTAGCTTTAAAGAATGCTCTAATAAGGTTGTTGGTGGTATTAATGATGGGGTTATTTTTGTTTTTTTATAATTTCTGATGTAGTGGGTCAACATGTGGAAGATCAGTATGAATCAGGGTACCAATATTGTCTAAAATAGTGGAAATATATAAGGTTATAAAATCATTCTGTAATGTAAAAGTCCCATCAAATAGGGAGATAGACAGTGGATTTTAATGTAACAGAATATGAAAAGTTCATTGATACGGTTTTAGATTCTATGTTCTAATTAACCTTTAAGAAATTGCTGCTTGTCGGGGCTGACATTGTGGTGTAGCAGGTAAAGCTGCTGCCCGTGATGCTGGCATCCCTTATGGGTACCAGTTCGGGTCCTGGTTGCAGTCACTTCTGATTCAGCTCCTTGCTGATGTTCTAGGAAAGCAGCAGAAGATGATGGCCCAAGTGTTTGGGCCCCTGCCACCATGTGGGAGATGCAGATAAAGCTTCTGGCTCTTGACTTGGGCCTGTCCCAGTCCTGGCTATTGCAGCCATCTAGGGAGTTAACCAGCAGGTGGAAGGTGTTTCTCTCTCACTATAACTCTGATAAGTATTTTAAAAAAAAAGAAAAAAAAAAAAGAAATTGCTACTTGTTGAGTTTTAGTGAAGTATCAAAGAAGCTTATTTGCACAGTTATCTGAAAAAGATATTCAGATTCTGTTCCCAACTCCATGTCTGTAAGGCCAGATTTTCTTAATACAGACTTCAGCCAAAACAGCATAGCACAAGATTGGATGGCAAAGCAGGTATAGAATCCAACTGTTTGCTATCAAGACAAATGTGTGATTTGCTTTTTGATTTTTGAAGTTGTTGTCCCCTTCCCTTGCAGGTATAGAGCAAGATGCCGTGAATACTTTTACCAAATATATATCTCCAGATGCTGCTAAACCAATACCAATTACAGAAGCAATGAGAAATGACATCATAGGTAAGCAGCACTTGAAGCTATGGGAAAAACAAAACAAAACCTGACTGTACTTGGTAATTGGCTAAGAAATTGTTTATGAATATAGAATATAAGTTCCTTTCCTAGTATGTTTTCAGAGTGCTTTCTTATATCTGACTGTTTCTCTTAAGTATTGGACTCACTCTCTTATATTTGAGCAAGAGTAACAATAGCACACATTTATTGAACACTTGGTATGTCTCTCACAATATTCTGAGCATTTTCCGTGGCTGACTGGTTTAATCTTCTAAAGAACCTTGTGTGATAAATACAGTTGTTGTTTACAAATGAGGAAACTGAAGCACAGAGGAGTCAAGTCCTTTGTCACACAGGTCAGACTGGCACTCAAGATTTGAAATCAGATTTCCACACCTTAACCACTGTGCTGTATCAGCAGTTTTTAATGCTGTATATTAGGACCAACCTTCTCATACATTCTTACTCCTCTGCCCAAAAAAAATAGACTAGATTAGAAACATTAAAGTGTTTCAGAGTAATAAGAGCAAAAATAATTTCAGGAAATTGTTCTGATCACATATACATATCTGTATATGATACTTAATCAGTAAAAACACTTCTCTATAGGTCATAGAAAATAGACAGTTTGAAAGCTTTTTCTATTTTGTCTGGATGGCTTTAGGTAGTTCTGTATTCACAGATGAAACTGGTTCATTTTTTTACATTTAAGAAGTATTCATTATAGTTCCACAAAGCCTAGTAGTACATTTTCTATTTTTATTCATCAAAAATTATTATTGGGGCAGACATTGTAGTGCAGCAGTTTAACCTGCTGCTTGCAATGCTCGTATCTCATATTGGAACACTAGTTAGAGTTCTGGCTATTCCACTTTCAGTCCAGCTTCCTGCTAATGTGCCTAGGAAGACAGTGGATGATGGCCAAAGTACTTGGGTCCCTGCCAACCATGGGAGACCCAGTGGACTCCCAGGCTCCTGGCTTCAGACTGGCCCTGCCTTGACTGTTGCAGCCATTTAGGGGGTGAACCAGCAGATCAAAGATAGCTCTCTGTGTCACTGCTCCTCTCTGTGTCATTCTGCCTTTCAAATAAATAAATAAGCATTTTTTTTTCAAATAGTATCATTTTTGGCCTAGTGTTTACAATGCTGGTTAGGATGCCCACATCCCATATCGGAGTGCCTGGGTTCAATACCTGTCTCCAGCTCCTTGCTCCAGCCTTCTACTAATGTAGGCCTTGTGAGGCAGTGGTGATGGCTAAAGTAAAGTTCCTCCCACCCACATGGAAGATCTGGGTTGGATTCCCAGCTTCCAGTTTTGGCCTGGCCCAGTTCTGGCTGTTGTAGGCATTTAAGGAGTGAACCAGTAGATGGGGAGCTCACTTTCTCTGCCTCTCAGACTTAAAAAAAAAACAAAGTATTTGGGATTACTGAAATAAAGCATGTAATTCCACCCCTAGCAAATTTTTCCCAGTATGAGACTTCTGCAGTCTTCACTGTATGTACTTTGCCCCTTTCTAGTCTCATCTGTGCGCTGTGGTTCTTAAAAATTGACAGTACTGCCGGCGCCGTGGCTCAATAGGCTAATCCTCCACCTTGCGGCGCCGGCACACCGGGTTCTAGTCCCGGTTGGGGCGCCGGATTCTGTCCCGGTTGCCCCTCTTCCAGGCCAGCTCTCTGCTATGGCCAGGGAGTGCAGTGGAGGATGGCCCAGGTGCTTGGGCCCTGCACCCCATGGGAGACCAGGAAAAGCACCTGGCTCCTGGCTCCTGCCAGGATCAGCGCGGTGCGCCGGCTGCAGCGGCGGCCATTGGAGGGTGAACCAGCGGCAAAAGGAAGACCTTTCTCTCTCTGTCTCTCTCACTGTCCACTCTGCCTGTCAAACACAAAATAGAAAAAAAAAAATTGACAGTACTTTCCAGTGAACACCTATTGACTGCTTTGGGGTTCACCAGACGCTGTCCTCATTTCTTTTTTCTTTTCTCACACTGATATCTGTAACACGTGGGTCTTACAACTATTGATAGGATTTCCATATCTGCTTGTATTTGGGGATTTGTGAAGATACCATTTCACCTAGTTTTGTGACATGTTGCCATGGGATTTTGATTTTTTTGTGTAGTTGCTCTGGTTTTATGTGGGAATTTCCAGAGTTCCTTAGACCAACTTCTTCTAATAATACAACTAAGGTTTTAACTATTAGAGTTTGGCTATTTGAGAAATTGGTTGGCTATTAATTCCTTGAGTCTGTACTGTTGGATAAACTGGGTAGGAAAGAAAAGGAGGAAGACATTTTGAGCCAAAGAAAATAGTTTATTTTATTTTATTAAAGTTTTGTTTATTTGGAAGGCAGAGTTACAGAGAGGCAGAGAGAGGTCTGCTGGTTCCCTCCCCAAATGGCTGCAGTGGCTGGAGCTCGGCCATTCTGAAGCCAGGAGCCTGGAGCTTCTTCCTAGTCTCCCACGTGGATGCAGGAGCCCAAGGATTTGGGCATCTTCTGCTGCTTTCCCAGACCATAGCAGAGAGCTGGATCAGAAGTAGAGTAGCTGGGACTCAAACCAGTGCCCATATGGGATACCAGCACTGCAAGCAGAAGCTTTACCTGCTAGGCCACAGTGCTGGCCCCCCGAAAGAAGACATTTTAAAATGAAAAGTCACTGAAGCTCTATTTTTCTTTTATTTAAACTTTATCAAATTGTGTAGTCCCATGAGATAAAAAAAAAAAAAAAAATCTGAAGGATCAAGTGAGTAACAATGATCAAGGGATCGGAGTTTCCATCCTGGAGTCTATTAGTATGCATTTTAGAATGTTAATTACCTATATGGCTTCAGACAACTTACTTTTCCACTTTGAACATTGTCCTGAATTCTGCCTTTATTTGTCCCCTCTTGCAGTTAGAATTTTTTAAAAGAGCTTTTCTTCAAATGAATTTTGTTCACATGAGCTTCTTTAGCTATTACTGTATATCCAGCCTGCTTCTTTAGTTGTAAATGCTACTAATGGGATTTTGTCTTGCTATCTAATTATTCTGCTTTTACATGGGGATTCAGAAATACAGAAACTCTGCTTCTATTACCACCTCTATCTTCCATAAGTCCTTGAAGTAGTAGTGTTTTTAAATGCTTTGAAGGAGCAGTTGATAGAATTTATGAGTGGGTATGAGAGGTTAGAAAAAGCTGCCAAGCATGACTCCATTAAACACACATACACACAAATGCCTAGAGTAGTGGAGTTGCCATTTATTAGTTAAGGAAGACTATGGGAGTAGTTGTTTATGGGGGAAAATCAGGAGTTTGGTTTGAGATATCCAGATGGTGAATGTGAAGTAGGCGATTGAACATCTACATTAGGAGTTGATGACAGAGGTTCACATTGGTGATAGATACTTGGGAGTCATCAGCATGGAGGTAGATTTAGAGCCATTACCACAGGAATGAGTCTAATGAGGGAAAAGAGGCCCAAGGACAGAGTCCTGCAGCATTTAGAAGTTTGCAGATGAGGAAGAATTGGCAAAGGAGACTTAGCAGTAAGAGCCACTGTGTAGGCCCTCTTACATCAGCTGTATTTCAAGAAAGCAGTTTTTTCTGGAAATCGGGGTGGGGGATTTCTGGGACAGAGTGATCAAAGATGTTAAACGTGGGAGACCCGAAAGAAGCTCCTAGCTCCTGGCTTCGGGTTGGCGCAGCTCTGGCCATACGGCCACCTGGAGAGTGGACCATCAAATGGAAGACCTCTCTCTCTCTCTCTTTGCCTCTCCTTCTCTCTCTGTGTAACTCTGACTTTCAAATAAAATAAATAAATCGTTAAAAAAAAAAAAAGATGTTAAACAGGAATAGATGTTAAGCCTAGTGGTTAAGATGCCTGCAACAAACATTGGAGTGACTAGGTTTGCTACTAGATCCATCTCTTGGCTCCAGGTTCCCACCAGCACAGACCCCGAGAGGCAGCAGTGATGGTTCAAATAGTTGGGTTCCTGCAACCCACATGGGAGACTTGGGTTGCAATTCTGACTCCAGCCCTAGCCACTGTGGGCATTTGGGGAGTGAACCAACATATGAGAACTCTCCCTCCTCCTCCCCCTCCCCCCCTCCCCCTTTCCACTCTCCTGCTTCTCCATAGGATATGAGTTGGGATGTTTTCTAATTGTCCCATTCTAACACCATCTGCCCGAAACAGTGTCAGATCTCATAGACTGAGGGCTCAGGTCTACACTCCACATGGCCAGTCCCAAGCATGGACTATGGCCTGAACTCCTGACTGATTGGCTGTGAATCAGGATTTCCACAATTCCCAGCTTGGGTTCAGTTGATTTGCCCAAGTGGCTATAGAACTCAGGGAAACACTTCTCTGAACATTTATTATAAAGGGTATTATCAAGGATACAAATGAATACAGCGAGATAGAAGAGATGCATAGGGTAACATATAGAAGAAGGGGCATGGAATCTCTAGACACACTGCCCTCCAAGAACTTACCATGTTCAGCTATTTTTTAGGGCTTTTTGAGTCTTTCATTGTTAACACAGTTGATTACATCACTGGCCATTGATGATCAGCTTAGCCTTCGGCCTCTTTTCCCTCTCCAGAGGCTGGAGGATGTGGCTGAGCTTCCCAACCTTCTAATTCTGCCTTGGTCTTCCTGGTGACCAGTCATTTCATTAGTATGCGAAAGATACTCCCATTACTCTAGAGATTGAAAGAATTTTGGGAACTGTATGTTAGGGAACTGGACAGAAGATGAAATACGTATTTCACAGTATCACAGCTATATATTGTTTAGCAGAGTGAGAGAGTAACCAGGCCAGGAAACTATATGTGATCCTTGACTTTTGGTTAGGGTCCCAATAAGGTCACAAGCTCAAAGTGAGACTAGCCATCCTGGTAGTGGGGTTTGTCTTTGTTTTTGCCAGCTGTTCGGCCACTAGCTAAATGGCAACAGCATATTGATTTAGGCAGTTCCTTGCATATGCTACCTAATTGTTCTACCAATAATGTTTTGATAAATTTTTTACATATAAATGTTTTCACAAATCCATAAATCCTTAGGTTGCACACTTAGAGATAGAATTGCTGCCCAGAGGAGTATGTTCATTTTTAGCTTATTCTTTTTTTTTGAAAGTTCCTTTATCTTTTTTTTTTTTTCCTGGTCTGACAGAGTGGACAGTGAGAGAGAGAGAGAAAGGTCTTCCGTTGCCGTTGGTTCACCCTCCAATGGCCGCCGCGGTCGGCGCGCTTCGGCCGGCACACCGCGCTGATCCGATGGCAGGAGCCAGGAGCCAGGTGCTTTTCCTGGTCTCCCATGGGGTGCAGGGCCCAAGCACCTGGGCCATCCTCCACTGCACTCCCTGGCCACAGCAGAGAGCTGGCCTGGAAGAGGGGCAACCGGGACAGAATCCGGTGCCCCAACCGGGACTTGAACCCGGTGTGCCGGCGCCACTAGGCGGAGGATTAGCCTAGTGAGCCGCGGCGCCGGCCTATTTTTAGCTTATTCTATAAAGAGCCAGATTGCCTCCAGAAAAGGATCTATCAGTTTAAACTCCCACTAATAGTAGTGTCAGTTTTCCCATGCCCATGCTCAAACCTGTATATTATTAAACAATTGAACATGTGTATTGTTAAATCTATGCTGATTTATTAGACAAAAGGTATAGAAACTCCTTACTCTGATAATTTTTTCACATTGTCTATTTTATGTTTGTTCTTTTGTGAGTTGTCTATTATGTTCTTTGTTCATTTTTCTTTAGAGACATGTATTTGTAAGAGCTCTTGATAAATTAATGGTAGTAATATAAATTAATGGTAGTAATTTTTTTTTTAATTTTATGTATTTATTTGAAAGGCTGAGTTAGAGGAAGAGACAGATCTTCCATCTGTTTGTTCGCTCCCCAAATGATCTCAATGGCTGGAGCTCAGCCAGGATGAAGTTCCATCCAACCTGGAACACCATCCAGGTGTCCCATGCGGGTGGCAGGGGCCCAAGTACTTGGACCATTTCTGCTGCTTTCCCAGGCGCATTAACAGGGAGCTGGATCACAAGTGGAGCATCTGCTGGTGTTACTGGTGGCGGCTTAACTGCTGTGCCACAGTGTTGGCAGTGATAGTAATCTTTTGACTGTCACACATACTGCAAGTTTTGTTTGCCTTTTATTTTGTTTTATTGTATAGAAATTAATCTTATACTATTAAAACTTTTTTATTTTTGCATTTGCACATGTGCTTCGAAGAAACTTTTTCTATCTCACATTGTTATCTGTATTTTCTTTTAGTTTTATTTAAAACTTTTATTTATACACTCTTTTGTTATTTCCTAGTTGGATTCACAAATGTGTACCGTTTAAATTTTTAGAAATACATGTATTTTTTTTTAACAGCAAAGATTTGTGGGGAAGATGGACAAGTTGATCCCAACTGTTTCATTTTGGCACAGTCCATAGTCTTCAGTGCAATGGAGCAAGAGTAAGTGAGTTTTGTATTTTCACATTTGCATTCTTGGGAAGTTGGGTTTGGCATTAGAAATGGACTTCACTCAACTAAAAACAAAATATCTTTGACTATTTAAGTATTTTGGATATTTTACAGAATCATAAGCAGGAACATATCAACTAAAACTATCATAGTTAATAGTTTGTTTGAAATGTAAATGATTTTTATTTTTAATGTTGTATTTCCTAAGTTAAAATAATTTGTTTTTAGTTTTGAAGTCATTTCAAGGTGATTGGGACTATCAAATAATGCATGTCTTCAGATGGATAGCTTAATTTGTTAGTTCATGCTTTAAGCTTTAGATTTATTGAAACTGCCTTCAAAGTGTTTTTAGATTGACTGCTGCATGCCCTTGAAAAAAATTGTCTGTATTCATTCTTTCATTTCATATTTATTAAAAGTATGCTTTATGTAAGATATGGTAGATACAGTACTTAAAGGAAGTTGTAGCCTAATAACAGAAATAGGACATGCTCTTTGGTTACTGTAATACAAGGTAGCATGTGTTAAATATCAGGGGGAGCTTACAAAGTCAGTAAGAGGTGGGAGAGATTACTTACAGGTAAAGAAATCAGAAATGACATCATGGAAAGTGAGGTGTAGCCTTGACCTAGGCTTTTAAGATACAATAGGGACAGTATGGAAAGAGTCTGGTTTTCCCAGTGAAGCTCTTTCCTTGGTCATTGCCTCAAATTTTCCCTTTTTGTCCATGTGCAGGCACTTTAGTGAGTTTCTGCGAAGTCACCATTTCTGTAAATACCAGATTGAAGTGCTGACCAGTGGAACTGTTTACCTGGCTGACATCCTGTTCTGTGAGTCAGCCCTCTTTTATTTCTCTGAGGTAAATTCTACATTTCCTTTCACACTGTGTTAGAGCATTCCAGCTGCTAAACCCTAAATGCTGGGGGCCTGTTTATAGAAAATAACATAGAAGAGACAAATTGTTTCCAAAGAGATTTATTATTGTTTTAAGTTGTATCTAATGTAAAGAGTACTTTAATGGCATATTAGTCAGATGAAAAGTTACTATAACTCTGATTTTTGAAACACTCAGTTAAACTTCTTATAAGAGAGTCCACATGTCTTAATTATTTGGAGCTACTTTAAAAACCTCAGAATTTGACACTTTTGATTACAGTACACAAATAATTGCAGACTAGACTTTATAAGACAGACAGAAAGGTAGTACAGTTTTTCCCTACTCTCACGGTTTTCACCTCAGCTGCTCAATAGGATTGCTTCAGTGAAGCGTTTGCTACAACCAGTAAATATGTTCATCTCTTTGAGGCATAGTTTAGTGTAATGTTATGTGTTAGGTTTCAGCAAATGAAATTCTTTTGTTAAACAAACGACTAGTAAGTAGCAGTAACGAGGGTTACTAATCTCTCAAGGCAGTTACTTACACACTTGTATTCTGCCTCTTCACAAGAACACTGTTACTCAGTTGACTTGTCATCTTCACTCCCTTTTCTTTGCCAAATCAGCATTTATTCAGGCGAATGTCCTTATGGCTTGATAGAAACAATCAGGTTTGAAAGACTTGATTTGGTTAGTCTATCCTTTGTATGTTTGCCTGTGAGGAACTGCTGATAATTTTTAGTCCAGTTCACTAAAGTTTGCCTCCAACTGTGTGGTGGTTAATTTTTGCTAATTTGAGGTAGGAGGGAGGGGAGTTGTTTCTTCCTTAAAACAATTTTTTTTAGCTTTTCAGTCTCTAATGCCTGTACGTTGCTAACTAGCATTAACTGAAGAAGTAGATCTTTCTGTTTTTTGCTTATGTACTGCATTTTAATACTTAGGGCTTATAGATTGGAGGTTGTGAGAGAAATCTGTTTCTAACCTTAATTTCCCTTTTATGTTTTTCCTTCCTAGTACATGGAAAAAGAAGATGCAGTGAATATCTTACAGTTTTGGTTGGCAGCAGATAACTTCCAGTCTCAGCTTGCTGCCAAAAAGGGCCAGTATGATGGACAGGAGGCACAGAATGATGCCATGATTTTATATGACAAGTGAGTCTCGTTTTATAGGTAGATGGCTTTAGCATCTAGCAGATGTTTATTGAGCATTTGGTATATGTATGGAAATAAAAGTGAGTAAACTCAGTTTCTGCCATCCAGGAGCTCATGGGGGCAGCATAAAAACTGTGCAGATGGTGCATTTAAAGCTTTTGGAGGCAGGGTGTCCTAGAACAAAAGTTTTTCTTGGGTTTATGTGTGGAAGATAGGCTGATGGTACGTGGTGCCCACGAAAGGTTTTGCAGAAGAAAAGTTTGGTTTGGATCCTCAAGAATGAATGGAATTTTCCTAACCGGAGAAGGCAAGAAACAACATCTTGGCAAAGTCACTGAAACAAGCAGTCACAAATCCTTGGAGAAATGTGGCACTTTGAAGCAGGTTGAGTTTGGATTAACAAAGGGGTAAGGAAGGTGAAACTAATTGGAATTAATTATAAAGACACTTCAACACCTGTGTATGGTATCTCTGTTGCAAATCTGCTCAGCCACCTTACTAAATGAGTAACAGTTTTTCATTAGTTTTAACTGAAAATGAGAGATTGGAAAAATCTCACAGTAAACAGAATTGAAAACATCTGGTTAGACAAGTGAAAAGACTATGGCCAGTTCTCTAACTTCTTCAACTCTGTAAAGAGAAGTAATGTGTTACTTGTAGCTACAAGTGAGTGCTAAGGTGGTAACTTGATGATAGAGAAAAGCCCTTGATTTGTTAGTCTATTAGAAGGGAGATAAGAGCATCTAGGCCAGTGGTTCTTGAGCATGGAGGTGTGCAGGCTCACGTGTGGTCTGCATGAGACTCACCTGCGAGCTGGTTAAAAATAGTCTCCCAGTCTTCCCCTAAGAGATTCTGAGTCAGCAGGCTTGAGATGTGACCCAGGAATCTATTTTTGTAAGACATGCCAGAAAATTCTGATGAATAGCCAGATTAGGTATCTAGTCTGATTTCCCTGTCTTGTAGATAAGGAAAGTAAGGCCCAGGAAGATAGTGATTTTCTCAAAGTCACGGGGCATTAGTGGCAGAACTTAGACTGAAATGCAATTTTTAATGTTTTGTCCAGTGTTTAGTGTAACATATCTGTAGAAGATATTATACAAGAAACATTATGGCTATTAAAATAGCAAGAATTTACATTTATAAATTTAATGTGGGGTGCCTAAAAATTTATGAAGCAGTGTTTTCCAACTTACTTGGAACATGGGAGACTCACTTTTTGTTATCAAAATGCTGATTTTCAAAGAAGAGTTCTGGGGCAGTGCTGTGGTGCAGTGGGTTAAAGCCCTAATCTACAGTGCCAGAATCCCATATGGGTGCCTGTTTGAATCCCGGCTGCTCCACTTCGTATCCAGCTCCCTGCTAATGTGCCTGGGAAAGTGGCAGAGGATGGCCCAAGTTCATATGGGGAGTGAACCAACAGATGGAAGTTCCCCCCAACCCCCCAACACCGCTCTCCTTCCCTCTCTCCCTCCCTCCCTCTTTCTCTTTCCTCTCTGTTTCTCCCTCTGTATCTCTTTCAAATAAATAAATCCTTTTTTTTTTTTTTTAAAAGAATATCCTTTATGCTTGAACAGAATAATAGCACTAGTAAGATCCTGGCTGGAGCTCACTCACCACACAGAGTGTGAGCAAAGACCTTGTTTTCCCACAGAATCTCATTTTCACTTTGAGAGCCATTTGTAGATGAAGATTACTATAGCATATCCGACTAGCACTGGAATTTTTACAAGTTATTGTGCCACATTTGACCTTAAAAATCCCTGCTTGTTTTTATATTTTGTATATGCATCATTACAATCACCCATAAGTTTCTGTCATAGCCAGGAGATGGAAGCATATATTTTTCTTCCTTTAATGTTTCTTTTGTATTCATCAGAAGCTTTCCAAAATACTAGCTATATTATATCCCATCAAGGTAGAAATCTTTGAACAACTGCCATTCATCACTCCTTTTCCTTCCCACACTATATCCTCAGCAGCTCCTTTTCTCTCTGAATATACCACATCTGGGCACTTTTTCCTCAGTGCCATTTCATTTTGAATTTCTTCACATTCATTGCTTGTGCCTCATAGTTATGATGGTATGTTTTTACTGTAGCCTACACATTGATCTTTGTCTTACTTTCTTGTAACTTCATTTCTGTCCTCCAAGTACTGAATAGAGAATAAGTGTCCATTCAATATGTGACTGATTGGTTTCTTTACCTAAGTTGTAACTTGACCCTTCCAGCTCTTAAAAACCAGTAGAGTTGTCTGGGCAAGAGTGAGGATGATTGAAAGAAGAAGGAAACAAGTTGACACAGATATTTTTGGGGAAGTGGGAATGAATAAAGGTGATAGCAGGGCTGTTGTCACCCCGCTCTATGGTTCTGGGTCTGCAGGCTGAATCAAGGTGCCCCATGTTAGATTGTCTGTTTAAATGCCAAACATTGCTTCTACTCAGCTGTGGAATTTGGTTTTACTTTGGTTGTCTGTCTGCCATAGGTACTTCTCCCTCCAAGCCACACATCCTCTTGGCTTTGATGATGTTGTCCGGTTAGAAATTGAATCCAACATCTGCAGAGAAGGTGGACCGCTCCCTAACTGTTTCACAACTCCATTACGTCAGGCCTGGACGACCATGGAGAAGGTAACCAAGAGCTTCGAAAGTATTAAACTGTAGCAGCTTTTACTGATGGAACCTGGAATATACAGCATGGCGAAAACCACACCTGCCAGGGCAGTGGGAAGTTGAAGCAGTGCAGCATGGTGCTTAAAGCAGAACTTTGGGTCTGCATTGCTGTGTATTAATCTTAACCTTGTGGGTTCAGTGACCTCTGGCTACTGAATTCAGTGTTGAATGCAGTTTTTATGGCTACTTACCTCAAAATTATTCATTATTTATTTATCATTTTTATTAAAGAGAGAGATGGATATAAAGAGAATGCCTCCCATCTGCTGGTTCACTTTGCAGAGGCCCACAACAGCTAGGACTGGGCCAAGTCAAAACCATGATCCAGGAATGAAATCCAGATTTCACATGTTGGTGACAGGCACATATGTACTGGAGCCATCACCACCACCTCAGAGGGTCTGCATTACAGGAGCCAGAGCTAGTTATCAAACCCAGTCACTCTTCATTTAGGACATGGGTGTCTTTTTTCTTTTTCTTTTTTTCTTTTCTTTTAAGATTTATAGATTCACAGAGAGAGGTAGAGACAGAGAGAGAGATCTTCCATCTGCTGGTTCGCTCCCCAAATGACCTCAATGACTGGAACTAAGCTGATCCAAAGCCAGGAGCTTCTTCTGGGTCTCCCATGTGGGTGCAGGGGCCCAGGGACTTGGGCCATCCTCTGCTGCTTTCCCAGGCAGGGGGCTGGATCAGAAGCGGAGCAGCCGGGACCCTAACTGGCAGTTATATGGGATGCTGGCACTGCAGGCTGGGGCTTCAACCTGCTGTGCCACAGCGCTGGCCCCAACATGGGCATCTTAACCAGTGTAACTGTTGGGCTAAATGCCCACCCCTCTCAAAAGTTATTTTGAGGGTTTAAATGACTTTATAAATGAAATGCTTCTTAACGTAGCGCCTTACATAATAAATATTAAATAATGTTAGCTGGGGCAGGTATTTGGCCTAGCAGTTAAGATGCCTGCATCCCATATCAAAGTATCTGGGTTTGATAACCAACTCTGACTTTTGACTCCAGCTTCCAGCTAATGTGGACTCTGAGAGTCAGCAGGTGGTGGCTCAAGTAGTTGGATCCCTGCCACCCATATCAGAGACCTGGATTCAGTTCCAGGCTCCCAGCTTTAGACGCCAGCCCATTGCAGGCACATGGGGGAGTGTACCAGTGGATGGGAGCTCCCCATCTCTCTATCTCTGAAAAGAAAAAAATGGGTCTACTACTGCTATTATTATTATTATTATTATTATATCATTTAAAATTATCAGCAATATAAGGGAAAGGTAATTTAGGAATTACCCAAATATTGTTGAAATTTGTGAATAGTTTGTTCTTCTAGTGAATTAGAGTAGATGTAACCAGGAATTTTACAGAGCCAAAACAAACCTTTCAGGTTATGTTGCTTATGTATGTCATGTGGATCCAGGTGGAAAAAGCTTAAGTAAGCATTGTTACATAATACCATACATAGAAATGGAATTTTAGGAATAAAAAGTTCTATATAAAAATCAAACCATTGAAAAGCTAGTAGTAAATAGCATTTCTATCCGCTATTACCTAGGGATAGTATTTTTTATTATTAAAGTTAAAATTTTTTCTAATTTTAGAGGAAAAGTCCAGATCTGCATCCTATAGAGAATATTAATTTTCTGAGTAATAAAACACATCAAAAGAGAAATAGTTCACCGCGATGTTCTTACCACCCATGTAGGAGACTGAGATGGAGTTCTTGGCTCTCAGTATTAGGCTGGCCTGGCCTACGCTTTGTGAGCATTTGGAGAATGAACCAAAAGGAGGAAGTTCTCTGTCATCCTGCCTTTCAGATAAATAAATCTTAAAAAAACAAGACCATGGTAGATACTGGGGAAAAGACATGAATGATTTATTCAACAGATACTTTTAATTATTTCTGTGCTACTTTTGGTTGTTACAGTGATAAATAGGAAAAAAATATAGTTTCTATGTTTCTGGAGTGTAGTCTATAAATGAAGGCACATACTAAATACAGACATAAATACTTCCAATTGTGTGCTAACTGCTGTGATGGGAAAACAGATCGTAATTGGAAATGCATATAATGAACATGGGAATTTATTCAACATCATTAATAATTAAGAGCAAATTGAAACATCTGTGTATCATTAGGCATTTATTTAACAATAATTAAAATACAATCTAATTTTGGAAAGCCTGTGTAGAAATGGATACTTTGATAAGTTGCTTGTGATACAAATTGGTAAAATTATTTTGAGAAGTAAAAGGCCATACATACCAAAGTTAGTCTGACCCAGCTTCCTGCTAATGAAGCTGTCTGAGAGGCAGTGGATGACAGCTGAAGTTCTTGGGCCCCTGCCACTCACATGAGAGACCTGGATGAAGTTCCTGGCTTTGGCCTGGCCAATTCCTGGCTTTTGCAGCCATTTGGGGAGTGAACCAATGGATGGAATCTCTCTCACTCTGCCTGTCAAATAAAATTAATAAATCTTAAAATGGAATTTTTAATATCAGTAATCATAATCCTTTTAATTTATCTTAAATTCAGTTCAAAGATAAAAACCAACATATGCACAAAGAAAGAAAAATCTGTTTACAGATTGTATACACTGTGTAACAATTTCTGCTCACCATTTATTAAATTTTTCTTAATTATTTTCATGTTATTTGAAATTATGACAGAGAGGGAGAAAGAGAGGGAGCTTCCATCTGCTGCTTTATTCCCTACGACAGCCAGGGCTGAGCTAAGCCAAAGTTAGGAGTCTTGAACTCATCTGGGTCTCCCATGTGGGTTGCAGGGATTGTATGCCACCTCTCAGGGTGCACATTAACAGGAAACTGGATTGGAAGCGGAGGAGCCTGGACGTGAACCATCTACTCCAGTATGGGATGCAGGCATCCTAACTCCTGTACCAAACACCTGCCTTTGCTCACTAGTATTATTAGCAAGTCTATATAATAGTTTCATGAGAAGTAATTTTTTAGGGGATAGGGAATGCAACAAAGTGGTACAGAGTAATTTTAGTTACAGTGCAAAACTATGTGCAAAGGGATAATGGAATATAACAAGAAGTAAAACGTTTGTATTAACTAGTGAGGTATAGGTAAAGTTTATTTAAAGTTCAGTTACATTAGATTTCAACTTTAAAACAGTGGTTTTCCTATCTTTCAGGTCTTTTTGCCTGGCTTTTTGTCTAGCAATCTTTATTACAAATATTTGAATGACCTCATTCACTCAGTTCGAGGAGATGAATTTCTGGGAGGGAATGTTCCACCGACTGCTCATGGCCCTGCAGGCCCTTCTGATGAGTCTCACCCAGGTGGTTCTGACAGCTCCGCTTCTCAGGTATTGGTTGATACGCATCTGTTTTTAGAAGAAAGGGATACAGCTCGTCTTCCGAACACCAGTAACAGATGCTGTCTTTTTAAATTATAGAATTAAAAAAGAAAATTACTATACTCGTACATTCCAATCATAGTATTGTGGTGGTTGATGGTATCCTGTTTGTATTGTAAGATGTCCTAGTATTTTTTTTAGGCCATGATTCTGCTTGACACTGTGACTGTTTCTCCTAATAATGAAATAATGTGAAATACATTTATGGCCTCTGGAGAAATTATTTGAGAAATTTTAATGCAAAATTTAGGATGCTGTTTTTTTTTTTTATGGGGTAATTGAGTGGATCTCTTAGGTTTCTTGATATTGTATTTCAAGACCTTTTGGGTTTATTTTGTGGGTTGCTTTTTATTTTTGTTTTTGAGGGAATGCTTTCATATATCAAACCTTACCCAGTTCCACCAAAATCATAGTAGTATATCCCCAAGACAGGAGATCTAAGGATACATTCACAAGTTAGCTGATTTTATTGAAGTCACACAGTAAATGCCACAGCATGAGATATTCCCCATTGAGCATACTTCATGATAAGCTTTATAATAGAGCATAATATTCTGATCACTGTTGACAAATAGCACATTGGGTTTTTTGATACTGGGCTTTGGATAAATTGTCTTGGTTTATCAGATAGTCCTGTTGGCCATCAACAGAGCTCTCCTGAGTACCCTTTCTTCCTGTTAAACTACCATGGGCAGTAGCCTGCTTAGTGTAATTGCCATTTTGTTTTCTGATATAAGCTAGAATGTCTTGTTTTTATTCAGGCAATTAAAATGTCTAGGTGCTAATAAAATATATTTATGTTTTGTTGAAATATACCTACAAAAAACTGCATATATAACTAACTATATATGTACCTTGAAGAACAGAATTAATTCATATTACCTGCATTTAGATCAAGATAGAATATTACCAACGTGGCAGAAGCCCTCTTGGACTCCGTTCTACTCCTCGTCATTCCCCCCGACTAGCATGGCACTCTCCTGACTCTATGGCATACATTAGTGTTACATGTTCTGTTTTTTTTTTTTTTTTTTTTTTTTTTTTTTTTTTATGATTTATTAATTTAGCTTCCATCTGCTGGTTAACTTCCCAAATGGCTTCAGTAGCTGGGGCTGGGCCAGACCAAAACCAGGAGCCTGGAAGAACTCCATCCAGATCTCCTAATAGGGTAGTAGGGCCCAAGTACTTGGGCCATCTTCCACTGCCTTCCCTGGCACATTAGCAGGGAGCTGGATTGGAATGGGAGCAACTGGGGCAGCCAAGACTGAACACCAGCACTCATGGGATGCCAGCATTGTAGGGCAGTGACTTAACCCACTGCACCACAACACAGGCCTCTTTTGTCTTTTCATAAGTGAAATCATAATTATCTATCCTTTTGTTTCCTTCTTTTGTACATCTTTATTTTGGTAATTCACATTTATAATGTATAATTCAGTAGCTTTACAGGGTATTCACAGAATTGACCTTTTTTTCCACTGCAAAAAGAAACCCCATTTATTTTAACTCCAAATCCCCCACTTCAGCCTTAGGCAACTGCTAATCTACTCTTTGTATATAGAGACAATACATTTGCCTGTTCTGAATGTTTTGTATAAATGGAACCTCATCATATGTGGTCTTTTCTAACTGAGTTCTTTTACTTAGAATCATGTTTTCAGGGTTCATCAATGTTTAGCTTGTTTCTGAACTTTATTCTTCTTTATGGCTGAATAAGATCTCATTGTCAGGATATACTATTTTTTTAATTATCAGTTGGTGGACATATGAGTGGTGTCCCCCTTTCTGCTGTTATCAGTAATAATGCTGTGAATGTGTGTGTACAGGGTTTTTGTGTAGATCCATGTTTTTATTTCATACCCAGGAGTAGAATTGCTGAGTCAAGTGATAACTTTTGTTTAACTTTTTGGGGAATTGCCAGACTCTTTTCCAGTGTAGCTGGATCATTTTACATTCTCACCAGCAGTATATGAAGTTCTACTTGCTCCACATTTCAATCACCAAAGCTTGTCTTGGTGATTATAGCTATCTCAGTAGGTATAAAATACTACGTTGCTGAGGTTTTTTACTTGCATTTCCCTGATACCTAGTGATGGTGACTATGTTTCCATGTGTTTATTGACCTTTTTTCTATTGTTGGAGGAATATTTATTCAAATCCTTTGCCCACTTTTAAATTGGGCTGTGTTTATTATTGAGGTACAGGGTTCTTTATATATTCTGTATGTAAGTCCCTTATCAAATATATGATTTTCAAATATTTCCTTCATTCTTTGAGCTGTCATTTCACTATTAATAGAGTTCTTTGAAGCACACAGTTGTTAGTTTTTTTTTTTCCAGATTTATTTATTTATTTATTTGAAAGTCAGCATTACACAGAGAGAGAAGGAGAGGCAGAGAGAGAGGTCTTCCATCTGCTGGTTCACTCCCCAGATGGCCACAACAGCTGGAGCTGCGCTCATCCAAAGCCAGGAACCAAGAGCTTCTTCCAGGTCTCCCATGTGGGTACAGGGGCCCAAGCACCTGGACCAAATTCTACTGCTTTCCTAGGTCATAGCAGAGAGCTGGATCGGAAGTGGAGCCCATATGGGATGCCAACACTGCAGGCAGCGGCTTTACCCACTATGCCACAGCGCTGGTCCCTCAGGTTGTTTTAGTAAAGTCTAGTTTATCTATTTTTGTTATTTGTGCTTTTGATATTACATCTAAGAAGCCTTTGCCAAGTTCCAGGATATTAAGATATGTCTTTATGTCCTTTCCTGAATGTTTTATAATTTTGTTTTATACTAATGTTTATGATGAACTTTGAGTTAGTATTTATATATATTGTGAGGTGGATAGCCAACTTTTTTTTTTCTCTTAAAAGATTTATTTATTTATTTGAAAGGCAGAGTAACTGAGAGAGAAAGAGAGAGAATCTTCAATCTATTAGTTCACTCCGCAAGTGGCTGCAACAGCCAGGGCTGGGCCAGACCGAATCCAGGAGCCAAGAGCTTCTTCCAGGACTCCCATGTGGGTGCAAGGGCCCAAGCAGTTGGGCCATCTTCTCCTGCCTAACCAGTCATTAGCAGGGAGCTGGATCAGAGTCCTGGAGCAGCCAGAATTTGAACTGACACCCACATGGGATGCCAGCATCCCAGGTAGTGGCTTTATATGCTGCACCACAACACCGGCCCACCGTTTCAGTTATTTCTACAGGTGAATAATACTCTATATCACATTCAGTTTATCCGTCCGTTAATGGGCAGTGTTAATTATGTGAAAAGTGCTGTTATGAATATTCATGTACAAGTTGAGTATGCATCAACATGCATATACCTCAGAATGGAAATGCTGTCATATGTTAATTCCTTGTTTAAATGTTTGGGAATTGCCAGACTGCTTGTTTGTTTATTTGAAAAGCAGAGCGATAGTAAGACAGGGAGAGCTACAAAGACAGGGATTGATTGATTGACTTCTGTGCACTGCTTTACCCCCAAATAGCTACAGTGGCTGGGTTGGGCCAGGCTGAAGCCAGGAACCCCATGCTGGTCTCCAGCATGGATGGCAGGGGCCCACTTGGGCCATCTTCTGCTGCTTTCCCAGGAGCATTAGCAGGGGGCTGGATTGGAAACAGCAGCTGGGACTTGAACTGGTGCTCCAATATGGGTACCCATATGCAGCTCCCCCAGCTGTTTTCTACAGCAGCTGTACCATTTTATATACCCATCATCGGTGTATGAGAGTTCCTGTTTCTGTATGTGTTTTCCAGTGATTGTCATTTTACATTTTTGTGATGATATCCATCCTTCTTGGTGTGAAGTGGCACCTCTTTAAAAGTTTTGATTTTTCCTTTTGGTTTGTATTTCCCTGATGCCTAATGATACTAGTATCATATGCTTGTGGGCTACTTCTATATCTTCACTGAAGAAATGTCTATTCAAACCTTTTGCCCATTTTAAAAATTGAGTCTGCGGACCAGCGCCGTGGCGTAGCGGGTAAAGCCACCGCTGCAACGACCACCGTTGTGCCGATCTGAAGTCAGGAGCCAGGACCTCCTCCGGGTCTCCCATGTGGGTGCAGGGGCCCAAGGACTTGGGCCATCCTCTACTGCTTTCCCAGGCCATAGCAGAGAGCTGGATCGGAAGTGAAGCAGCCAGGACTGGAACCGGCGCCCATATGGGATGCTGGCACTGCAGGCGGTGGCTTTACCCACTACACCACAGCGCTGGCCCCGTTAGTGTCCTTTGAAGCATAAATTTTTTTATTTTCAATGAAATCTAGTTTGTCTATTTTACTGTTTTTGCAGCTACTTTTGGTGTCTTGTCTTAAGAGTCATTACCAAACCTAGGATAATGAAGATTTACAAATTTCTATATTTACTTGAAGAGTTTTAGGTCTTTGGCCCATTTTGAGTTGGTTTTGCATATTGTGTAAGATAGGGATCCAACTTCATTCTTCATCTGAATAAACAGATGTTTCATCACCATTTACTGGAAAAACTGTTTTTTTTTTTTTTACCATTGAATGGTGTTGCCATCCTTGCTGAAAATCATTGACTGTAGATGTATGGGTTTATTTCTGGACTATTCCATTGATCTGTGTGTCCTTCCCTACACCGGTACCACATTGTTCTAATTATTAAGCTTTGCCTTTAAGTTTTGAAATCAGAAAGTGTTTGTCCTCTGATTTGTTCTTTTCATTTCCAATATTATTTTGGCTATTCTTGGTTCCTTACAATTCCACATGAACTTTTTGAACATTTTGATCAGGATTGCATTATTGCATTGACTCTGAATTGCCTTTGTGAGTTTTGTCATCTTAGATGTTAAGTTTTCTAGACCATGAATGCAGTATAAGTTTTTCTTTCTGTCCTTAATTTTGTTCAGCAATATTTATAATTTTTGTCATGTAAGTCTTGAATTTTCTTAGGTCAGTCATTCCTAAATTTAAAAAAAATTAAAATTATGTGAGAGAGATAGCAGTTGTTAGGAAGACAGACATGGGCAGGCAGAGCTCCCATCAGCTGGCTGGGTCACTCCCCAAATGCTCACAAAGGCCAGGATTGGGCCAGGCAAAAGCCAGAGCCAAAAACTCAGTCTAGGTCTCCCACATGGGTGGCAGGGACCCAACTACTTGAGCCTCTCAAGATGTGCATTAGCAGGAAACTGGAATTGGGAGTCGAGCAGAGACTTGAACCCAGGGAGTCAATATGGGATATGAACGTCCCAGCCAGTATCATAACTGCTAGATCAAATGCCTGCCCATCTGTGTTTAATTTCTAATGTTTTTATTGAGATGTTTATATCTGATGTTTCTGATGTGTGTATTGATAAAATTTGTTTATTTTCACTTTCAGTGTATTCATTGATAGTGCATAGAAACGGAGTGATTTTTGTTTGTTGATTTTGTACCCTCAACTTTGTTGTTTGATTTGTTAGCTCTAATAGTTTTCTTGTGAATTCTTTAGGATTTTCTATATGAACTCCTCACATCTGCAAATAGTGATAATTTTCTTCCTGTCTACTTCGGATGCCTTGTATTTCTTTTCTTGATTGATTGCTCTGGCTCAAACTTCTAGTATGATGTTGACTATAAGTGGCTTAAGTAGGTATCTTTGTCTTTTTGTTCCTTACCTCACAGGGTGAGCTTTCAGTGTTTTACCATTCAGTATGATGCTAGGTTTGTGTTTTTGTAAATGAACTTTTTTTTTTTTTTTCTCACGAAAGATGTTGGGTTTGGTCAGATGTTCTTTCTGTGTCAATCAAAATGATCTTATAGGTTACAGTTATTAATATGTATTGTATTAATTGATTTTTAAATGTTAAACCAACCTTGCATTCTTGGGTTGATCTCAGGATGTGTGCATTCACTTTACTAGTATTTTGTTGAAGCTGTTGTATAATCATAAGATAGTACTTGTACTTACACTCACTAAGAGATTGTGGTCTGTAGTTTTCTTGTAATTTCTGGTTTGGGTATCTGAGTAGCAATGGCCCAATAGAGTTATCTGGGAAGTATTCCCTTTGCTTTTTTCTAGTGCCTTTCTTTTTGATTTGACTATGTGTCTTGGAGAATGTCCCTTTTTAGCAGATAAAGAGAGCCCCTTTCGCCGTAGAGTGTACTATAATCTGTGTTTAGTTATATTGTTTATTTAAGCTGTGCCTTAGTTATACATGTTAAGCTTATTCCTCTTTTGCTATTTCAAATAATGCTGCAATGAATAATCTTATATAAGTCATTTTTGCATTAGTGGTGATACTATCTATAATCGAATTTCTAGAAGTGGAATTTCTGGGTCAGCCCATAGCTCTGTATTTCATGAAAATTCCAATTCTGACTTGCCTTTTTGTGGGGGTGAGGAGTAGGAGGTAGAATGCTGGAGGGGAACATGCTGTACTCAGCTAGTCATTTTGGAAGGAGTTATTTAGCTTCTTTTTTGCCTCACTGAGAATCAAAAACATTCATGTTTACTCTGCAAAATTGGGCTTTACATTTATTAACCAGGATATATACCCCTGAGTACTTGCACACTGGGGGAAGATATCTGGGAGAACAGCACATTTGTTGGGACATAGGTCATTAAGGAAATGGACATATTTGGCATGCTAATGCTTATTTTATACAGTTTAATACTGTGCTTTCCTCTGGTGGTTAAAATTTGAGAATTATTGTTAAAATTTCAGAATTATTGCCATTAAACATCTCAGTAGTGATGGGGTTAAGGGAAAATTTGTGTGCTTCAAACTCTAAAGAACAAACACAGCACTGTTTTATTTCCTCATTAACAATCTGTTAATTTTATAATTTCTCTTGTAGTCCAGTGTGAAAAAAGCCAGTATTAAAATCCTGAAAAATTTTGATGAAGCAATAATTGTGGATGCTGCAAGTCTGGATCCAGAGTCTTTGTATCAGCGGACATATGCAGGGTAAGCTTAGCTCATGTCTTGGATTTTTACAAGTCTAAAGAATTTTTCATCTTTTAAAAATTTTAATTAAATGCTAATTTTTGTTACTAATTTTTTGCTTAGCACTTCCATATACACTGTAGTGTATGTGGTGGTTGGGAATAAAGTCTCTAGAGTGACTTCTGCATTTCCTCATGGCTGTCACTTCTTCCATCTATAAAACAAGAATACTATTAATGGATTAAATTAGATAATACTTAGATATTTTAATATTTAAAATATTCTCTGATACCTAATAAGCACTCCATAGGTATCATTACCATCATTAGTCCACCACGATGTACAATTTTTGAGTGTCTTGTTTATATAGTATATTTTAGGTTGTTTCTTGGACATTTAATTTGATTTCACATCTTAAGCTATTTTCGTTTCAGTCTTCAAAATAAAAATAAAAGAGTGGTAACATCATTTATTGTGGACTGCATAATTTCAGGCTTGGACAATGGAATAAAAGATTCTTTCATATTTAAGAATTAACTAGGTTGTTCCTTTAATCCTGTAACAAAAAGACAGTGATACATAGGATATGCCACCTAGTAAAATTTACCACAGATCAAAGCACAAAACCACCTCCTCTTTCCCAAAAGTGAGTTGATTAACATGAAGCCTGTGTGAAGAGGTGTTTTTTTTTTTGTTGTTTGTTTGTTTGTTTGTTTTTTAATTTATTTGACAGAGTTAGACAGTGAGAGAGAGAGAAAGGTCTTTGTTCCGTTGGTTCACCCTCCAAATGGCCGCTACGGCTGGAGCTATGCCGATCCAAAGCCAGGAGCCAGGTGCCTCCTCCTGGTCTCCCATGCAGGTGCAGGGGCCCAAGCACATGGGCCATCCTCCGCTGCCTTCCCGGGCCACAGCAGAGAGCTGGACTGGAAGAGGAGCAACCGGGACTAGAACCCAGTGCCCATATGGGATGCTGGTGCCGCAGGCAGAGGATTAATCAAGTGAGCCACGGCGCTGGCCCAGAAGTTCTTGGCACTATTCTATACCCTACCCCAGTCCTAGCAGTATCATGAAAAAGGGATTTCAGTGTGCTCAATTGCATTCTTCAGAAAGTACCTGTGAGTAATTAAGAGATAAGGAGTCTGGAAAGTATTTTGAAGAAAATAAAAGGAAGTTTAGCCTCATTGTCTCTGGCAGGTACACTTCAGTAAGTCAGCTCTGGATTAATCTTTAATCTTCCTCATACTCTTAAAATGGTGAACAGTAGCCCAAACAAATTATTTATTCCAAAAGATAATATTTATTCCTAAGGAATGATTCATTTATTCAAAACCTTACATAAGAAAGACTATCAAAGATATTACTTCTCTAGGTTTTCTGCTTATGTAAACAAATTTTTTTAAAAAATATGAGTCAGAAAAGAGAAATAAAGATATTTCTTTAAGTATGGTTTTCAATTTTTTTTTTAGTTCCACATCTTTAGGATTTTCTTGAAGTCTTTCTCAAGGCAAATAAATTTGTGTTAGTTGAGATATTGGCACTCATAAAAGAAATAAGGATTCTTTAGGAAATCTTTCTCAAAAATAAGATCCACTTTGCCTGAAATAAAATAATGTATAAATTTCACAAAACTTGTTTTATTTCTTTTAATTGCAAATATGTTATTCTTGTTAAAATATGTATAGATAATTTAATGTCCCCCTTTAAAAATTTTTGTATTTATTTGTATCTTCCATCCCATTCGCTGGATCACTCCCTAGTTGCCCTCAACAGCAAGCAGTGGGCCAGGCTGAAACCAGGTGCCAGAAACTCAATTGGGTTCTCGCATTTTGATGGCAGAGGCCCAAGTACTTGAGACATCACTGCTGCTTCCTAGAGTGTATGTTAGGAAGCTGGAATGGAGAGTAGCACCTAGAGTCAAATCCAGACTCTCTGATAGATGTGGACATTCTGACATTCTAAGCAGTGGTGTGACCTCTGCGCCAAACACCTACCTCCAGTGTCGCCTTTGATTGCACATCAGTGCTTGTTTCTTCCCCGTCCTCCATAGAGTGATGGTTGTTATGGTGTGTTTTTGTTTGCCCTCCCTCTCCACCCCCCGCCCCATGTATGCGTGTGTGTGTGTGTGTGTTTTGATTTTTGTTTTGTTTTTTGTTTTTGTTTTGAGGTAGACAGGCAGCTCCCATCTGCTGTTTCACTCCCTAAATGCCCACAACAGCAAAGTCTGGGCTAGGCAAGCAGAGAGCCGAAAGCTCAATCCAGGTCTCCAGTGTGGATGACAAAGACCCAGTTAGTTGAACCGTCACTGCTGCCTCTTTGGGTCTGCATTAGCAAGAAGCTGGAATCAGGAGCCAGAGCCAGAAATCAAACTCAGGCAGTATGATGAGATGCTGTCCTCTAAAAAAAGATTTATGTCCTCCTTCCGCCATCTTGGAGCCTGTGGAGGCCTGCTGTGTCTGTGATACAAGGCCATTCTTGCTGGCTGTAAGTGAGGACTGTAGAACCATAGGGAGCACACAGCAGCACTGCTTAAAATTGAAGGTATTTATGCTCCAGATGAAACTGAATTCTGCTTAGGCAAGACACACTTATGTGTACAAAGAACAACACAATGACCTGGCATCAAACCTAACAAAACCAGAGTAATATGGGAAAAGTAACTTGTGCTCATGGAAACAGTAGTGTGGTTCATGCCAAATTCCAAAGCAGCCTTCCTGGGAAGGCCATTGAACACGGTATTCGTGTGATACTGTGCACTTCAAGAATTTTAAAGCACTGAAAAGTAAGCAAGTGAAAATGAATTGCTTCTCTTGTTAACAAAGATCACTCATTTGAAAGGCAGACGTACAAAGAGGGAGAGACAGAGAAATCTGTCCACTGGCTCACCCCCGAGATGGTCCCGACAGCCTGATCTGGGCCAGACAAAAGCCAGGAGCTCCATCGCTAGTGGATGTCGAAGTTACAAGTACTTGGGTCCTCTCCCGCTGCCTGCCCAGGCGCACTAGCAGGGAGTTGAATCAGAAGTGGAATAGCTGGGACTTGAACTGGAGCTCCTGGCACCGCCGCAAATGACAGCTTCTTTCATTGTTGCTAGTGAGGTTGAGCTCCTTTTGCTAAGTTAGTTGATTATTTAGGTTTTTTTCTTCTATGACTTTTCATCTTTTTGTATTTTTTGGTTGGGTGATTTAATTAGTGACTTGTTAGAATTCTGTGGTTTTGGATATCTTATCATTGGTTGGTAATTTTAAAAGTAAGACCTTTCGCCGGCGCCGCGGCTCACTAGGCTAATCCTCCGCCTAGCGGCGCCGGCACACCGGGTTCTAGTCCCGGTCAGGGCGCCGGATTCTGTCCCGGTTGCCCCTCTTCCAGGCCAGCCCTCTGCTGTGGCCAGGGAGTGCAGTGGAGGATGGCCCAGGTGCTTGGGCCCTGCACCCCATGGGAGACCAGGAAAAGCACCTGGCTCCTGGCTCCTGCCATCGGATCAGCGCGGTGCGCTGGCCGCAACGCGCCGGCCGCGGCGGCCATTGGAGGGTGAACCAACGGCAAAGGAAGACCTTTCTCTCTGTCTCTCTCTCTCACTGTCCACTCTGCCTGTCAAAAAAAAAAAAAAAGTAAGACCTTTCAGGAGCTGGCACTGTGGCACAGGGGGTAAAGCAGCCACCTGCAGTGCCGGCATCCCCTATGGGCTCTGATTCATATCCCAGCTGCTCTACTTCCAATCCAGCTCTCTGCTGTGGCCTGGGAAAGCAGTACAAGATGGCCCAAGTGCTTGGGCCCCTGCATCCACATGGGAGACTCGGAAGAAGCTCCTGGCTCCTGGCTTTGAATCAGCTCAGCTCAGGCCATTGCGGCCATTTGGGGAGTGAACCAGCAGATGGAAGACCTCTCTCTCTGCCTCTCCTTCTCTTTCTGTGCAGCTCTGACTTTCAAATAAATAAATAAATCTTTAAAAAAAAAAGACCTTTCACTGCAATCTTTGCCTTTTTACTGCTTTATATCCCTGTAACTTTGTAATATATTTTAACCGTGTTAGAGTAAGACTTTTTTTGTTTCTTCTTTTACACGATTATCTTGGCTATTGTTTTGCCATTTCTCTTCTGAGAGTTTCAAAATTGTGAATTACTAATTAATGTGTCATGTTTCATAAACCTTATTGGGATTTTGGATGGAATTGAGTCAAAGATTGTTTTTCTTTCTGTGGAACAAAGTTGTTTCAAATAAGTCCCACTTTGAATAACATGAAATAGCATAAATGTGTTTCTGGTTTTTTAGGTTAGATGACATGCTTCAAATTGATACTTTTCTTCTAACTTTAAAACTAGTTGCTAGAAATTATATTCTTTTCTTCGTGTTAGGAAGATGACATTTGGAAGAGTTAGTGACTTGGGACAGTTCATCCGAGAATCTGAGCCTGAACCTGATGTGAAGAAATCAAAAGGTTTGTGATGTTTTCATACTCCATATTAAGCCTTTACTTACATTACTTATTGATTTTTTTTTAAGTGAAGGACACTGTAAGTTTTAATTAGTGATAAAATCAGCAACCTTCACCTTTGTAGGCACAAGTAAGTATAGGATGTGTTATCATGTCTCTCTAAAATCTGTTCCTCCGAATCAAGTTACTGAGCCTGCCTTACCAATACAGAGGCACATCAGTATGAAAAATACTGTTGCCTTTTTATTTAATGGCAAAATACACAAGCTCAGGGTCAACTTGAAGTTTATTTTGAGACCCTTTATTATATTAAATTTCCTCAAAATCTCAGAAAGATGTTTTGAAATATATGTGGAAAGTATTACTTTGTTGGAGTTCAGATTCTTACTTGGTTTAATCGGCAGAAAAGGGTCTTGGAGAAGACTAGACATTAGATGCAGAAATCCTTTTTAGACAGGTGTATTCTTTGTGACTGATTTCAGCTTACAAACCGTTGGTTTACCTAGGAAGTTTGGGAAGATAAAGATAGATCCATTAAAATACTGTCTGTTAGATTTGTCTTTTTTATTTTTATTTTTATTTTTTTAAAGCAGCAATAGTTGGGTAATGAATTGTACCACTTTGTTTCAGTGACTATCAGAGTAAACCAAAACATGCAACAATTATGGAAACAACTTAGACCAAAGTGTGTCTATTACATAGTTGACCTTATTTATTCAGATAATTAATATATTTCCTATTTTGACAAAAAAAGTCTCATATGGGTAGAATGTTGTAAAAACTGGATCAGGAAAGTTCATTCTGGAAATAGTTTTTGAGTTACTGTTCCTCTGTATGTACTGGTTTTCACTGGGCAGGTTAGAAGATAGGAATTGAAGCTGTCATTGTGTCATAGCTGGTAAAGCTGCCCTGTGTGATACTGGCATCCTGTATAGGCACTGGTTTGAGTCCTGCCTGCTCCACTTCTGATCTAGCTCCCTGCTAATCACCTGGGAAAGCAGCAGAAGATGGCCCAAGTGTTTGGGCTCCTGCCCACACGGGAGACCTGGATGAAGCTCCTGGCTTCTGTCTGGCCCAGCCCTGGCTGTTGCAGCCATTTGGGTGGTGAACCAGCAGATGAAAGATCTCTCTATGTCTCTCCCTCTCTCTCTCTAACTGTGCCATTAAAATCAATAAAATAAGTCTTAAGAGGAAGAAGATAGGAATTCTGTTACCAGGAAACTTAGAGTTTAGTAGTTTTGTGTCTTGGATTGGGTGGAAGATGGACTCTGGGAAGCAATCAGTGGTGGCCTTGGAACAGGGGAAGTGTTGGATGATCCCAGTGAGATGTTGGCCAGAATGGACAAATTAATGTCATTAGGTAGCTTTTTTCCTTTTAAGATTTTTTTTTTTTTATTTGAAAGAATGATAGAAAGATCTTCATCTGTTGTTCACTCCCCAAATGACCTCAATAGCTAGAGTTAAGCCAGACCAAAGCCAGGAGCCAAGAACTCCATCTGAGTCTCCCATATGGGTGGCAGGGGGCCCAAGTACTTGAGCCATCTTCTTTAAAAAAAAAAAAAAAAAAAAATTATTTAAAAGGCACAGAAGCAGAGAGAAAGGTCTTCTATCCGCTGATTCATGCCCCAAATGGCCACAGTGGCCGAAGCCAGGAGCCAGGAGCTTCTTCAGGGTCTCCCACATGGGTGCAGGGGCCCAAGCACTTGGGCCATCTTCTACTGCTTTCCCAGGCCATAAGCAGAGCTGGATCAGAAAAGGAGCATCCAGGACAGAAACTGGCACTCATAAGGGATACTGGCGCCACAGGCAGAGGCTTAGCATACTATACCAAAGTGCCAGCCCCAAAGTCTCCAGTATTAACAGAAAATCTCTGAGCTGTTTTTTTTTTTTTTTGAAGTTGGTCGTATACCTCTGACAGCTCATAAAGAAGTACTGCTGCTTCATGTATATAGATGTTGAATATATGCAGCTTGTTCTTGTTTCATATTAATTAAAGTGTTATGAGTAAGGATTTAAAAACAAACTTTTCCCCAAGCTACTGAATCTCTGTTCATTCTGTTCACTGTCTCTTCATATTACTCATTCTAAAGCGTAATTGAGTGCCTACTAAATGTATCCCTTGTTCCAGGCACCAGGAAGAAAACAAATTTCCTATTACCCTAGAACTTACATAGTAGTGGAAGAGAGAGTAGATAGTTAAAGAAATGAATTACTGCATGTTACCTGTGCTTCTATATTTCTGTATAAACATAAAAGGCAGGATAAGACACTAGGAAGGTGATGGGGGCTACTCTTTAGAGATGGTTGTCAGGAAAACCTTACTGAGGAGGCAGCATATTGAGGAAAGACCTGAGCACAACAGGGAAATAAGTCCTGGTAGTATCTGGAAGAAGAGTGTTTTTGGCAGAGGGCAAAGATTAGAAACCAGCAACCAGAGCAGATGACTGGGCATGGGCAGCATGGCTGGAGTGAAGTGACCAACAGGATGAGTGGGAGGAGGTGGGAGAGCTGGGAGGGTTTGCAGAGCCTACGGCAAGGACTTGAAAGTGTTGAGGACATAGTGGAAGTTGGAATAGGGAAGTGATGTGATGTTTTAAAGAGATTGCTGTAGCAGCTTTTGGAAAGTACAGAGTGGTGTTTGAGAAGCAGGGAAACAGAACCTTCTTGGCATGTAGTCTAAGTCATAGTCTGAATAAGGCATGATGGTGAGCGAGGGCTAGGCTGGTGGGGGAATAGCAGTCACACTTGGGTTACATTTCAAGGAAGAGGTCACAGGGTTATTTTCTCTGCCAGGAAGTTCATCCATCAAGCTACTTACATTGTTAATTTGAGGCACACCTACATAAAGTAGTGAATAGGAATTTCTGCAGTTTGCTTAAACACATACATTTATCCTGGTATGTCCTGTAATTGTCCAGGTATCCCTTAAGTCAACTATTTTTTGGTAATGAAGGAGCCAAGAGATTGCATTCATTCACTCCAGACACTTTGGAAAGATTTCTGTGTCTTGAACACTCTGCTTAGATGCCAGGGTTGTAAACTAGAGGGTAAAGAGGGAATGGGTTTCACTCTAGCCTGGTTCCTTCTTCATAACCCTGATCTATTAAGCACACTGGGCTAGTTTTCTTACAGAATGCTCAACGTGGATTTTCCTGGTTGTGTTATTTAGCTTATTCTTCCCTCCCCTTGAGCCCAGTTCTTCTAAACTAGAATTTATATCTGGAGTCTTGATAATTCAAGCTCTACATTCTTGGATAGAGCATGTCATAGGTAATGTATGTGGTGTTTTTAAGTCTGTCTGTTAATGGGTGTATACTTGCATGTTAAAATATTCCCTGAATGGATACACAGAATACTTAACAGTGATTGTGGAAGAGTAATTTACATTTTTTGTTATACCCTTTTCCAATTTTTGAATTTTCTTACCTTATGCAGACTTCACTGCTTAATTATCATCCCCACCACAGCATGGCTTCCTGTTGCACTTGAAATAAAATCTAACCTCTCTGCTGTGACCTGCAAATGTTCCTGCTGCCTCTACAAGTGTAACGTTACCCTGAAGCACTCTCCCTTTTGTGAACTAAGCTCTAATTGAACTATCCTTTATTCTTTTTTTGAGGTTTCTTCCCTTTCAGTCCTCTGCCCTGGCTTGTACATGATGACTGGCTCCTTCTCATCTCAGTATTAACCTCTTCACGGAGGCCTTCCTAGCCACATGGTCTGAAATCACCTGTACCACAAAGTGCCACTTCTGTGTCTTCCTCATTGTCTGCAGTCAGCCTGCTAGTTGTATGGACTTGCCTTTGGTCTATTTGATGACTAAACTATTACCTCTATGAGGGAGCACGGATTTTTTCTGTTTTATTTGGTATTATACTCTTTGTTTGTAAGATTATGCCTGGCATATGGTAGGCACTCATTAAATATTTGTAGATAGAACTAAATAATTTAAAATTTCATGATTATTTGGGTGGTGAGATTATGGGCCGTATCTATTATTTAAGAAAAAGGTCATTTTAAAACTTGGTTGCCCTTTGCATACTGGTATAGATAATAAGTTTTCTTATCTACATAGAGTCCCTTTATCCTTCTCAGACCCTAATTGGTATTTCTTAGCATTTTCCAGCTCATGTAATTATTTTTATTATTTTTATTTATTTGACAGAGTTAGACAGTGAGAGAGAGGCAGAGAGAAAGTTCTTCATTCCATTGATTCACTCCCCAAATGGCCGCCATGGCTGGCACTGCACCGATCCGAAGCCAGGAGCCAAGTGCTTCTTCCTGGTCTCCCATGTGGGTGCAGGGCCCAAGCACTTGGGCCATCCTCCACTGCCTTCCCGGGCCACAGCAGGGAGCTGGACTGGAAGAGGAGAAACTGGGACTAGAACCTGGTGCCCATATGGGATGCCAGCGCCGCAGGCGGAGGATTAACCAAGTGAGCCACGGTGCTGGCCCCTCATGTAATTCTTAGACGATACCTCTGTGAAGACAAGCTCCTCATTTTACAAGTGGTGAAATTGAGGAGTAGGAAGATTGTGGTTTGTTAGGAGTCAAACAGCAGCTTAATAGCAGATACAGAGTATTATTTGGTTCATAGTATTATCTTGACAACAGTTCTAAGCCTCAGGTCCCCTTCCTCTACATTTCTGTTCATCCTTGCTGAGGACAGTTGGAAAGACTTTCCATCTCAATGGTTTTAATTTGGGTTTTGGAAACCTAGTAATAGGGCACAAAGGAAATCAGACTGCGTTTTTCTTCTTTTTTAAAAAAATTATTTATTATTTATTTGAAAGAGTTACATACAGAAGGAGAGGCAGAGAGAGAGAGAGAGAGAGAGAGAGAGAGAAAGAGAAAGGTCTTCCATCCACTGGTTCACTCCCCAATTGACCACAACAGCCAGAGCTGGGCCCATCAGGAGCCAGGAGCTTCTTCTGGGTCTCCCACGCGGGTGCAGAGGCCCAAAGACTTGGGCCATCTTCTACAGCTTTCCCAGGCCACAGCAGAGAGCTGGGTCAGAAGTGGAGCAACAGCCAGGGCTCAAACCAGCACTCATATGGGATGCCAGCACTGCAGGCAACTGCTTTACCTGCTATGCCACAGTGCCGGCCCCAAGACTGAGTTTTTAGAAGGGTGTATCTTAGAAGTTTCATGTAATCAAGGTAATTTACAAAGTGACATTAAAAGCATCTAGAGGAGAGTGTGGCAAGAAGGAATTATGAAGAATGTTGTGAGCCTGTGTCCCTGAGTGGAATTCCCCTCGTGTCTAGTTGGAGTGATGAGGGAGAAAGCAGTACTTGTGTCAGGAAAACCCTGGACTTGTGGTGTTTAGGAGCATGGGCTCCACATGTAGTCATCAGCGGTTTCTAAGCAGAGTTGAGAAGAGACAGAGTGAGGGAGACTCTTAGACAACAGGATTAGTAGTAATGAAGAAGAGGTTTTGGAGTTAGTGATAGCAAAATTTAGAGGGAAAGTCTGACTTAAGAGATTTCCAAGATTGAATTCAAGAGATTGTAGTCCAAGGGGAAACTAGGTGACAGATTCATATGTGAATGAGTAAATAAGGACAGAAGCGTGGTTTTTTTTTTTTTTTTAACCCAGGTGAAAATTATGGTCTTAACTGAAACAGGATGTAGAAAAAAGAATAGGTGGTGAGCTCAGTTTGGAACTTGTTAAATTTAACATGCCTTTGGACAACTTGAAAGTATGAATTTGATGCCCAAAGGGAGTTTCTGGGTTATTTGTATATTGAAGAAAATTGAAGCCCCAGCAGAGAAGTGAAGAATGCTAGTAGTAAAACTCTAAAGAAGTGCCCTGTTACAGAGTGAATGCAGAGGGTGAGTCAGAGGTGCAGGTAGAGGGGGAGAGGCAAGAGCGCCAGCAGCGCGGTGCTGCAGATGAGACCGACCAGCAGTGGGGTAGACCTCGGACACAGCTTTCAGTGCTGTGGCCCTGTTGCCTCTGCCTGACTGTAAACTTTGACTAAGCTAGTGCTCATACTTAAATTAATTAAAATTGTTGAGAGAAAAGGATTCAGGCTTGATGTTTTTCATAAAGGCTATGTATCCCATTTACTGAATTAGAAGTTTGCCTAAAGAAATAATCTGACAGTAACTCACGTAGTTTAAGGTACAGTTGGGAAGTTAATGTTTAAACTATTGAATAAAAGTTTAAACTGTGTATTTCATGTATAGAAATAGAGGCTAGGCTACTTCCTTGATAATTCTTCAGCATCTGTGTGCAGATATATGTTTGTGTGTCCTAGAAGTTGAGGTGTGCTGTAGCTTGGATAGAGCCTGGCTGTTTGAAATTCTGCTCTCACTCACCTGATTTATGCAGACAAGACAGCCAGCATATAGCAGCATAGTCTGTACTGTGAGGAGCTGGTCTGGAAAGTTTGAAAATACAAGAAGTGGACCAATGTCTCCTCAGCTATTGCTAGTTTTTACCCAAGAGCAATATCTTGGTTATGGGTTTTTTTTTTAATTTGTTTTTAAGATTTATTTATTTTAAAGGCAGAGAGAGAAAGATCTTCCATCTGCTAGTTTACTCCCCAGATGGCTCCAACAGCCAGAGCTGGGCTGATCTGAAGCCAGGAGCTTCCTCTGGGTCTCCCACACAAGTGCAGGGGCCCAAGGACTTGGGTCATCTTCTGCTGCTTTCCCAGGCCATAGCACAGAGCTGGATTGGAAGAGGAGCAGCTGGGACTAGAAATGGTGCCCATATGGGATGCCGGCACTACAGACAGCCGCTTTACCTGCTACACTACAGCACTGACCCCTATGGTTTTGTTTTGTTTTTCATGTTTGCTGTGTATTTAACAACAGATAATAGTTTATTTCACTAAATGAAGAAAGGAGAAGAAAAATCCAGAATTCTGAACAACTTTTAAAATGTATTTCAAGCCATGATATTTGCAAGTTAAATATTTGCTACGAAAACAGTATAGCTGGTGATTATTGATGATAATATTCCTTAAAGAATATCCATGTCCAGAAGGGAGCAGCTTTTAAAATAACAGTATTTTTCAATGTAAATTTATGCATGAAATCTAAATTGTGCATGAAATCTACATTCAATTTTGGCTTTGTCTATTAGGATCCATGTTCTCACAAGCTATGAAGAAATGGGTGCAAGGAAATACCGATGAGGTAAATGCAACTTTAATGTGAAGATTCCTGTTTGTGAGTACCACTTGTGTCCAAGAAGAGTTTGAGGTTTTCTTTCTTTAGTTCCCATACTTTAGCAACATGGCCCATCTGTGTTCCCTTATCCAAGAAGTAACAAGAAAGGGTAAAGAGGGCTTCTTCGCATTTCACAATTGCCTGAAGCTAGAAGTGATCTTCAGCCCACAGACCATGGCCACTGAAGGATATCCATGCATTCAAGTTTTCATCGACCAGCGGGCATCAGTAGTCAATGCAAAAAGCTTCTGCATTTCTGCACTCAGTTTGACTGTTTAAGAGTGGAGGCTTGCTTTTTGAAGAGTTTTGTACATGAGAGATGGCAGCAGAAAAAGGGAAGAGTGTTATTTTGACCATCTAACATGAAAGTGGTCATGGTTCTTGATGCCTGTTGATTGATCCTGGAAGCCAGCAAGTGGCGTGTGCATACTCATGTATCATAGCCAGAGCATATTCCAGATTTCTTTCATACATGGGAATGTACTTCTTATCCAGATAAATAGAAATGATATGCATATACAGTTGTGTTTAAAGCACTGATTATTTGCATCTTGATTCTTCTAATGAGTAACCATTATCAACAGTTTGAATTACTTCCTTTAGGCCCAAGAAGAGTTGGCTTGGAAGATTGCTAAAATGATAGTCAGTGACGTCATGCAGCAGGCACAGTATGATCAACCACTAGAGAAATCTACAAAGGTAAGGATGACTTGTGTTCTGACCTAGCTTAAGTAAATTATATTCCGGGTATATAAAGATTAAGAGGACATAGGGGACTTCTGTATGCACCTCTGGATTGCTGTGGGAATTGCCTTTTCATTATAAACAAGTAGAAAATTGATAAACTAAGTGAGAAAACTGTTTCCAGATATTAGACAATGGGAGTATAGGGCTGAAGAGTAACATTGAAGTAATCTTGTTTCACCACCAGAAGCAGCCTAGGAAGGGCGGAGAGAGGACAGAGTCCAGTAGTCTTGTTGAATTTGAGGAGTCAGAAATAAAAATCCAGAGACCCTGATGTGTCTAGAAATTATAGAACAGGGGACAAGAGGGAGTTGCAGAGATTCAGAGAGGCTGTTGGCTGAATACATATCTGTGGATTGAAAATGCACATCTTCAGGGAAAGAACCACCAGAAATCATGAAGAAAGAACTATGAGTAGTACTTGTCCCTCCTGGTCAGAATGGTATACACAGAACTCTGGGTAGTGTCCACACAAAGGTTACACCTTACTACTGGGGCTGAGTTAGCCCCAGAGGAAAGCACTTCAACCTAGAGGGACAGGCATGTGGTATAGCAATTAGATGCCGCTTGAGATACCTGTACTTCATAATGGAGTGCCTGGGTTTGAGTTCTGTCTCCCAACTCCAGCTCTGTGTTAGTGCATACCCTGGGAGAAAGCAGGTGACACAGCACAAGTAGTTTGGTTCCTGCCCCCATGTAGGTGACACAGACTGAGTTCCTGGCTCCTGGCTTTAGCCTGACCCAACCTCAGCTGTTGGGGACATTTGGGGAATAAACCAGTGGATAGAAGATCTTTTGCTCTCTGTTGCTGTGCATTTCAAATAAATAAGTCTTTAAAGAAAACAAAAAGAAATGAAAGAAGAAAGAACCAGTGGGACAAATAGCAAAGTAGATTTAAACTGAATGATATTAATAATTATATTAATTATTAATATTAATTATATTATAATTTATATATTTAATAATTATATTAATTATTAATATTTTCATCAATTATTATTAATCATGATGTTAATGATTATATTAGATGTAAATGGTCTAAGTAGTCTAGTTAAAAACTAGATTGTAGGATTGGAAAATAAAGCAGAAAAAGTAAAAAGGAAAAAGAATGAAAAAGATAAGCATGCAGACGCTGTCAGAACCAAGCTAGAATGGCCATTAATGCAAATCAGAGTAAAATTCAGAATAAGGAGGATTACGAGGTGCAGCTTCATCTAGAAAAGATGAAGAATCCTAATTATGTATGCAATTACTAAGAAGTTCAAGTTCAAGGGGGACAGCATTGCGGTGCAGAGGGTTGCAGTGCTGGTTCGAGTCCTGGCTACTCTGCTTCTGAATCAGCTTCCTGTTAATGCACCTGAGAAGGCAGCCTGGGGGAGACCTGGATAGAGTTCCTGGCTCCTGGCTTTGGGCTGACTCAGCCCAGCCCTGACTGTTATGGCCATTTGGGGGCAGTGACTCGGCAAACTGATGTCTGTCTGTCTCTGTCTCTCTGCCTTTCAAATAAATAAGTATTTTCTTAAAAATGCTCCAAGTACATGAAGCAGAAATGGATAGAACTGCACAGAGAGGTAAAGAAATCAGTAATTGTCGCTCCCCCTCTTCGTGGAGGAACGACACAGGACCCTGCGCTGTTCTTTCGTCTGCTCGGCCCTCCCCGGGTTTGCTGCTGGTTCTTCCCGAGTTGGCTACCGTCCCTTCCACCTCCGTGGAAGGGCGGTTCCCCCTGCCACATTCCCTACTTCCGCGGGGGAACGGCACACCGCCGGCCGGCTCTCTCGGGGGCTGCACAGGTGTTCCTTCAGATGTTCCCCTTAGATGTTCCTGGTGCATGCCGTCTCTCTCCTCCTTTATAGTCCTCCTCCGCCAATCCCAACTCTGCTACCCACACGCCGAGTACGCTGCTCTCCTCCAATCAGGAGCAGGATCAGTTCCTGGAGGTCATCACTCAAGTTGGCAAGAGGCAGCTGTGTAGAAGCTGTTTTCTCCTCTCCCAGCGCCATATTGTGGGAGAGCAGATGCATAGAATAAGTCTTAATTCCAGTAACTCAGTCCAGTCCGGGTTGCTCCCCACAGTAATAACATAGATTCCAGCAGTCTGCTCTTGGTAATAGAAAGGGCATTGCTCTTGAAGAATTGGTATACCCCTGTCAACCAGTCAGACCTGAATGACACAGCAACACAGCAACAGCAGAATGCACATTCTTTTTTTTTTTTTTTTTTTTGGACAGATAGGGTTAGGGAGAGAGACAGATTGGTTCACCCCCCAAATGGCCACTACAGCCAGAGCTACACCAATCTGAAGCCAGTGGCCAGCTGCCTCCTCCTGGTCTCCCATGCGGGTGTAGGGGCCCAAGCACTTGGTCCATCCTCCACTGCCTTCCCAGGCCACAGCAGAGAGTGGACTAGAAGAGGAGCAACTGGGACTAGAACCCGGCGCCCATATGGGATGCCGGTGCCGCAGGCGGAGGATTAACCAAGTGAGCCACAGCGCCGGTCCCTGAATGCACATTCTTTTGATGTTCACATGAAACATTTACAAAGATGTGTTGTATTCTCAGCCATAAAACAAATTTCAGTAAAGTTTAAATGATAGAAATCATCCAGAATATGTGAAGAACTCTTAAATTAAGGAAGACTGACCATCTGATTTTTTTAATGACCAAAAGCTATGAAAAGACTCTACATCTGAGAAAACACATGAATGGCAAATCCTTATGTACATTGATAGTCATTATGGAAATGCAAATTAAAGTGATTCTGAAATTTCACGTAAACGTAGAAGAATGGCTAAAATTAATAAAATTTATAGTACCATGTGTTTACAATATTGTGGAGTAGCTTAACGTGTGATATTTTACTGCTGGGAATGCAAAATGATAGAGCCGCTTTCCAAAACAGTTTGACAGTATCTCATAAAGTTAAACATAAACTAGCCAGGCATTTCCTTGGGGAATCTAGTGTCAGAATTGTTAAGTTCTTGGACTGGTATGTTCTCCAGAGACCAGATTCCTACCTAGAAGATTCTTGCCAAGCTGCCCGTTTCTTATTAGCCAAGAAAGGACAAAGCTTAGAGGGGCTCTGTATTATTACACATATATTATAGCCAATCCCTCCTTAATCCCCTCCACCCCATTTTCAGTGCAGCTTCCTTATCCGCAGGCGTAGCTAGCATATTTTAGGCCAGAGACACTGTTTTATTCTACTCAGAGGTAGATGTCAGATTTTTGTGCTGAGGTTGAGTTTTGGGCAGAAGCAATCACACAATATGGCTAATGAGAGCTTCAGAACCATCACTGCCAGATCTGCCTGCTTCTGCCTTGGGCTTTTGACAAGTCTTCATGTTTGCATGCACCCTCATTCACCTCACCGAGGTATGTTGCCGCCAGTTTTTGACAGTGTGAACCAGGTTACTGCTCAGCTCCTCTACTTCAGTGTTGGGTTGCGTATCTGGGTCCGCTACATGATTTAACACTTGTCCATTCACTTCCAGCTTCCAGAATGTTGCCACTTCCACCCTTTTGTCCACTCATGTGAGTTTGTGTTTACAGAGAAAAACGTGGTGCCAGTGTAAGAAGGAGTGAACTGAATGAGTGTGATCAGTCCACCAGTTCTCCCTGGAGGGCAGATAGCTCTGATTCAGAAATTAGGAAATCCAGACTTGCCTTCTCTGTAGATTCGCCACTAGTTCTCATCTTGCCCATGAAACTACACAAATAGCTTTCAGAAAATTGAAGACAATCATCTAGTCCCCCTTCCGTCTTTTCTTCAAATGAGACATTCTCAGTTCCTTCAGCACTTTTACTTTGTTACCTGAGGACTTAATGTGACAGAATTTCTGCTCATGTTCTTCATGCAGACATGAAACTACTCCTCTGTCACTTACATTAACCAAAAATCAGGAATTGGAGGAAAGTATGATCAGATGACATGGAACTAGCAGTACTTTTGAGGGCTTTAGTTTGGTTTGGATTCATCATCACCCATTGCTTTCCAACTTTCCAGACAACGTTTTACTGTAAGAGCTGACATTATCACAGTGTGGTGTAACTTTTCATTGTGCTGATTCATTCCAAAGCCCTGTTCACTTTTGCAGACTCTATCCTCTTTTCTGTGAAAGGGTGATACTTTTATCTATATATATCTTCTGGCTCAAACTAAAATAGCAAGGAGCAAGCTAAAGGTGTTTAAAAAAAAAACACAGGGTGGTTATTTTTGTGATTCTCCATAATCATGGTGGTGATCAAATGTTTGACAATAAGATTATGTTCTTTAGAAACCATTTTGGAAAGCAGATGTTTAAAATTCAGACTTCTCGTTTGAGTTACATATTCAGATTTTATTACCATGTGCTTTTCATTTTGGAGATAGGCAGATGTGTTTTGCTATATTTTGGTTCTTGAGCTTGCCAGGCCTTCTCTCTGATTTGTCAGGATGTCTGTGATGCCTGTCCCTCGGGCATTAAAACCAGAACTAGCTGGGTCCATTTTTCGGCAATGTGTGCAACTTCTGCAAATGGCTTTCCTTCTCCAGTCCCTCATTTCCTCCTCAGTGAGTAAGAGAAATTGGACCAGAAAACCTCAGAAGGACCCCTTCTAATTCTCATTCTATGGTTTTAAGGTTGTAAGCGCCTGTAGGCCCTTGCAGGAATACTCAGTCTTTCTAGCCTGTGTTGATGACTCTCTGCCTGGAACCATTAACTCTATGTTGCCTCTAGAGTGTGCTTGGACATTCAGCATGAGCTGTCTCATGCACTTCCTGAGTTGTTTCATGAGCCTAGTCTCATTTTACAAACAGTGGGCCATGTCCTCTGTGATGTTTATTTTCTCTTCAGTCCTCTTGAGCTTGGTCTGGGGAGCCTTGGTGATGAGAGTTCTTGGGGATATTCTGTGTTATGACATTATTATTATGATGATGATTATTAAGACTGTTTCAGGTTTCCCCTGTTACAAGCAATATTTATTTTCATTTTATTTTAAAGGTACAAAATGGAGAGAGAGTTCAGGTCTTCAATCCACTGATTGACTCCTCAAATGCCAAACAGCTGAGTCTGGGCCAGGCCAAGCCTGTAACCTAGAACTCCAGCCAGCTGCCTCCCAGGGCAGGAAGCTAGAATTGGAAGTGGGGCTAGTACCTGAACCCTGGCACTCTGATAATGGGATGCAGATATCCCCAGCAGTGTCTTAATTGCCATGCCAAACACTCCACAAACAATATTTTTATGAATGTCTATATTTAGATAAGTGGGAATATTTTTCATTGCGAAATCTGTTGCCAGAATGTAATGGTGAAACAGTCTGGATGCTGGTCTTTGTTGTGTGATGCAGAGTGAGTTATTTAACCTCTTTCAGCTTCCATTTACTCATTTGTAAATAATGCCCCCTCCCCCTAGCTGTGGCCCAGTAGGTTAATCCTCCACCTGTGGTGCTGCTGGTCTCCCATGTGAGTGCTGGTTCTAGTCCTGGCTGCTTCTCTTCCAACCCAGCTCTCTGCTGTGGCCCGGGAAGGCAGCGGAGGATGGCCCATGTGCTTGGGCCCCTGCACCCACATGGGAGACCAGAAAGAAGCACTTGGCCCCTGGCTTCGGATTGGTGCAGCTCTGGCCATTGCGGCCATTTGGGGAGTGAACGAACAGACGGAAGATTGTCTCCCTCTCACTGTCTGTAATTATACCTCTCAAATAAATAAATAAAATCTTTTTTTAAAAAAATTAAGATAATAATTGTATTTTACCTCGAAAGATGGTTGTCAGTTCTAGCTGTCATAAGCTGTGGTATATAGTAACACCTGCTAATGATAATGGGTCACTTGTAGCAATGTGCCTTACCTTTTTTTTTTTTTTTTTTTACAGCTATGACTCAAGCCTGAGATAAAGGAAATCTACTTTTGAGAAAACAGAAAACTTTTTTCCTTTGGTTGGAATCTTCAACACAGCCAGTGAAAACAGAGCACTATGTTTCCTTTCACTGATCTATCACTGTTGTTTCCAAGAAAGAATGGGAGACAATCCTAGACTTCTACCATAACGCAGAGTAACATGTAGACTTGATGCACACGATGTTCACACAGTGAGAGTCATAAAGATACAAAGTGGCATTGTTTACATTACTAGAAAATTCTTAGTTTTCCATGGCAATAACCCATTTATGAGAGAGTTTTAGCCCCCTGGAATAGACAAAGGACCACATGCCTTGGGAGGCAGATCAGCCTGGGGTTGCTGTCAAACTGATCCATCTCTGGCAGCATCACAGAGCAGGTGTCAGAGGTGCCGTGTGTAGTCCTCCTAAAACAGACAGGCGTGAGCCCACCGAGAGCCAGGAGGGGCGGCAGTGCGGTGCTAACAGAGAGGGGACTCAGCTGTGCTGTCTTCCTTCACAGAGGCGTTACTTGAGAAGGAAACTGACAGGCCATGGGTCAGGTCTCAGTGACATCATCATTCCCGTTGGTGGCAGTATACAATTTACACACCTTAATTGCTCCTGAGCTGCAGCGTCCTTACAGTTGTCTCTGCTGCTAACAAAGCGTGATGCTAGTTCACTGTGAGCATCCAGACTTGCTCCTTTGAATTCTGCGCTCCAGTGACTTAACTTTCCTTTCAGCATATGTGTGAAAAGAATGAGTAATGATCACTCCAGTTTTCCCTCTGTAGTGTCTTGAACAAAATGGTTATTCCCAGATTGTACTTTTTTTTTTTTTAAGTAAGATGGACAGGTTGGGCTGGAGGGAGGGAGGAACTCGCCTAGGTTTGCCTCCCCTGTTCTTTGCTCTGAGCTGGGAAGTGTACAGTTGGCGGCCTTTTTTCTTTCTGTCTTCAGGACAGAAGTAGACTCACTGCTCTTGCGCTCAGTCAGCTCTTTCGTGGGGACCCCACAGCCGTCAGCAGGGCTGCCCAGTTGGCAAGCACACTCCACCGGCCCTGTGGTGCCAGTGCCTCCTCGATGTGCGTAATTGTTTGAAGGCTAAGTTTGTTCTCTTAGGTGTTACTGCTTTTGCAAAAAAGAAAAAATACTATATATATATATGTACTATATATATATAAATATATAACTATCAATCACTTCTGTCCTTGAGAAAGTCTTGAATGAACAAAGAATTTATTCCATTGCATTAGTTGATTGTATAGAGGCGCCCTGTTTCATCAGCAGAAGAGGCGAAAAGGCCGTGTGTAAGTTTTTGGTACTGTGTACCACCTGTTGTTGTTCTAAAGCGAAGTATTCATGTACGTAAACCATATTCTATTTAATTGTGTTTGATTTTAAAATATATATATATGAATTATATTTAAAATCGTGTCAGCTTTCTGCTTTCAGGGCATTTATGGCTCTTCTGTTGAATATCTTAATCCTTCCAAATAATTCCATTTGCTTTACAAAACCCCTGAACTTGAGCCACTACTGGACTTAGCCTTGTGTTTGCACTGTATGGCATAGACCTGAGGTTTTTATTAAGGATATATGCTGTGATTAACTTATTTTGTTCTTTTTAACAAGAATATTTTCATCTATCTCACCTTGTTTCAATCTATGATGGAAAAGCAATACAAAGGTCATAGAATAAACTGGTTTGGGGTAACTCTGGCTGCCTCTGCATGTTGTGGAGTAACAATTTCTGGAAGATTCTAGGCTCTTTAAGCTGATGCTTTCAGTGAGATAATTTCTGATGGTTTCTTGGTATACGTTTTGTGCTTCTGAGCGGGAGATCCCAGTAGCTGTAAGCCTGTGGTGGAGGGAAGAGCAAGTTGGAGGTTTCGTTACCTTTTTTCTGCTCCACCCGCCAACCCACCTCCGTGGTGAGATGCAGAAGTTGGAATTGGGTTCGCCTGACATTGAGCACCCTTTGTGTCCCAGGCTCTGTTCAGGGCATCTGGAGAATATGATTCCCTGGCAGGGTTTTTATAGGTTCAAGGAATAAGCTTCACCTTTATCATGTCATTGACATCAAACACAAATTGTTTAAAAAGAAAAGATGCCAGTGAGAAAGTGATACCTCTGATAACTTTGTGTCTAAATAACTTCTGTAAGATTGGGTGAAAGTAAAAAGCAAATGTCAAACCAAATCCAGTGAAGAGCAATAAAACAGGGAGCAACTTTTTGTAACTTTATCTACGTGAGTTTTAGTATTGTGTAGAACTTTCTGAATTGTAAGCATTTTACAGTACTGGCGCTTTAACTGGTTGGGTAGGAATCTGGAGGGGACGGTCACTCTGAGTTTACAAAGTTACAGACTTTTTTGTTTTATGTAAGTGTTGAGAGCTAAGACCCTGATGGACGCAGCAGCTGACCTCTAGTGGTGCTGTCTGGGGACCTGACTGTCTCACAGTAACCCCTCCTGGCCCCCACCTACACTGGCACAGGAGTAGGGGCCACAATTCTGGAGGAAGACTTTGCTCTCCCACCGTTTCCTCCTTGTCACCACATACCAGCTGACTCAGGGTTGAACTCTGACCCAAACGAGCCTAATTCTTTATTTTGGGAGTTTCGCTTGGATAAGGAGAGATAGCAGTTGCCCTCTGGGGTGGTGGCTTGGAGGGTCACTTACCCAGGCAGGAGCCTGCATGTGCAGACAGGCCTGCGAGAGCAGCTGCCTTGGCAACCCTGAGGACTGCATGTGGCCCTGCACCCTTCCTTGGACTCCATTAATCCCTCAGGTGTGCTTAGAATGAATTTTGAGTTTTTTCAGAATCAGTCTGAATTGAGTTTCTACTGCATGCAGCCAAGAGGCCGTAATAAAAGGACCATGGCTCTGATTCCTGATGACCCTGTGTACTCAGCATGTCTGCAAAGCACTGCTGAATTCTGGAGCATTTCCCTTTTGTAAACTTTCCCTGATCATCTTGTGTTTTTTTCTCAAAACGGAATCCTAATCTAATGTAAATGAAAGACACTCACTCTTCCTTACAGTGAGGAGTGAGGAAGGGACAGGGTAGGTGCCAACATCCTGTGGGGCAGTGACCATTAGGACTCAGGACAGGGGTCGTCTTCCTGTCTCCCGACTTCCTTCTCCACTCTCAGCAACTCTGCTAAACCTGGAAACACAGGGTGTTCCAGGTAATGAGTGCCCGACACAAGCTTAACATAGAGGAAGGGGGTAATGATTACAAAGCTTGTAAATGCTGACCACTTCTGTGGATGCGGCAAGGTCTCTGGCATTCGGCTGGAGGCACAAAGGGAAAGTAGGCACCAGTGAACCCTGTGAGGCGACAGCATCAGCGGCCGCAGTAGTAGCTGCCCTCTGATCCCCTTACAGGTGGTCATTGTGAGCCCTGAGGGAGCCGTCCCCTGTGTGGGCAGAATCGGGAGTGGCTTGGAGCAGGGAGGATGGGGCTCTGCCTCCGGGACAGGCCTCGGGGTCATTCGTGACCATGTAGGATTTCTGCCCAGTTTGGCATGCAGGCAAGGTGTTCCTTTGGTACTGCCTACTGTGGCACATTTAGGATGTCACAGACCTCACCTGGAATCCTTAGGCTTCTCGCCTAAGGGTGATAGCGCATCCACCACCTCCTAGCACCCCCTGAGGCACTGCAGGACTGAGCCCTTTGGTGTCCCCTGAGTAGCCCTTGTCAGCACAGGCTGGAACAGTAGGCAAGGAGCCTAGGAAGAGCAGACCTGACTTCACCTCCCAGGGAACCAGGATTTGCCAGGGAGTCCATGAGAGACGAAGGCTGTGACAGCTGTGGCATTTCTCCCAGCCTCAGATTTCCAGTCTCTTGCCTTAAAGGTGCCTTCTTCAGTCTCATCCCTGAGTGATTCCAAGCCAGCCTCTGCCTGAATCATGGGAAGGATCTCACATACCGTACCTGTGGAGGAGGCTCTGACTTGAAGAAGCACCTCGCCAGGACTTAGGGCTTCGGACTAAGGGCAGCTCTTAAGTCTGGACCCCAGCCTCACCAGCTCCCCAGAGCCCAACAAAAGCACCCAGGTGTTAGTTTCCCGTGGCCAACAGCAACCTTTGTTCCTTCTAATTACAGAACAACTGATGTAGTGAATGTTTACTCTGTTATAACAAAGCTGGGCGCTGTTTACAGTGCAAGGGCACAGGAACAAAGTAAACAAACTTGGAAGCCCCACAGAGCTTGCTTTCTACTGAGGAGGCGGTGGAAGTTGCATCTAGAATATATGTTGTTACTTTGGACTCAAGCTGACTTTTTGAGCCCAGGTTTAACTTCCTTTATTCCTCAAAAGAAATCACTGGGTCTCCCCTTGGACCACCCCAAGGAGAGCTACAGCTTAGGGAGGGAAAAGGCGGCGATACCCTCTTAACCCCATGCCCTGTGAGGACCAGATGCTGTATTTTTTTTTAAGCATTTTATTTTATTATTATTTTTTTTTACAGGCAGAGTGGACAGTGAGAGAGAGAGAGACAGAGAGAAAGGTCTTCCTTTTGCCGTTGGTTCACCCTCCAATGGCCGGCGTACCGCGCTGATCCGATGGCAGGAGCCAGGTACTTCTCCTGGTCTCCCATGGGGTGCAGGGCCCAAGCACTTGGGCCATCCTCCACTGCACTTCCTGGCCACAGCAGAGAGCTGGCCTGGAAGAGGGGCAAGCGGAACAGAATCCGGCGCCCCGACCGGGACCAGAACCCGGGGTGCCAGCGCCACAGGCGGAGAGGATTAGCCTAGCGAGCCGCAGCGCCGGCCTCAGATGCTGTATTCTTCCATTCGTTTGCTGCAGACCAGGTGTAGGCACTTAGCCTGGGGTTGGGCACCTGGTTAGCAAAAAGCCTGCTCTCTGAGATGGTCAGGATGAGCTTCTCTGTGAACAGGGTAAGGCTTAGAGGACACCAGAGGATCAGCCCCAACCCCCATGGCTCTCTGAGTTCTACTTAAATGATGGTAAGGACTGGCCAGCGTAATCCAGTATGTGCTGGTTCCAGGCACTATCAGAGCCTTACAAAGGAAGTACTTGTTTTTCCCTTAGAAATGAGGACAGTAGTTGTTTGCTCTTGTCTCGTTTTGCAGCTCATTCGTACTCGCCACAGGCTAGTATGGCAGATGCTGAAGGCTTAAGAAAACTGGTGGCTTTAAAATGAAAAACATTCCATCCGTTACCTTAAAGCAGTAGTTCTTAAACTTGCACCCACATCAGGATCCCCCAGAGACTTCTTAAAACATAGAGTGCTGGGCCTAACCCGAGTTTCTGACTTACTAGGTTTGGGTTAGGGCCCGAGAATTTGCATTTTTCACAGATGGACAGATGATTATGCTGCTTTGGAGTCGACACTTTTGTGGATCACTGCCTTAAAGTCTTTCCAGCAAATCGGGAAATCAACGTTTCCATTTATTGGCTATATAGAAGTATAGTTTGAGGCGCATTACCCATGATTCACTCAACACGAGTCCTTTGTTAGTCAAATGTGTATCAATGCTGAGAGCACCCAAGCCCCACCCCACTGTCTCATCATGAGAACCTGGCCAGCGCTGAGGCCATCAAGGCCATCCTCACTGGGGTGGAGCTTAGCGGAGGCCACCACACAGCAGTCACAGACCCGGTGCCTTTGCTGGGGACGGGGAGCCTGACAGTCCCCTAGGTCTGAGACTTTGCACTGTTGGGAATCACACCTAAGTCCCCATGGACCGTTTTGCACTAATCCTGCCTCGTCCATGTCCTTCCAGCTTACCTCCCAGGTCCTTGCTGCCAGTTACCCTCCAGGATCCTGACCATGACTTTTCCTCATTTCTTCCTTTCTTTCTCATTTGCCGAATCTCCCTCCTGACCATTTGTTCTCCAGCATGTGTTTCCTGATGGCCTGTTAATGTGACTATGCTAGGTGCTGAGGACACAGTCATACCCAGGACAGACAGACTGCCCGCCCTCCCTGTGGTCTAGGAAGCGAGGAATTACAAGTGGAGTGAGCGCTGTGAGGGTAAGGAAGCTTCTGGGGGGGATTTAGGTGGACACCCTCATCCCCTATGACTTACACTCCCTGGTCATCTCAGTCTTTCTGCCTATCCTACATGTCTCCTCTCCCTCAAGGTGCCGCTATTTCACAGTCCTAACTACATATCCAGGCCACTCTTAACCCCCTCCCCAGCTGGAGCAGGACTCCGTGTCCAGGTTGTACACCAGCACCTGCTCCTGGCCGGTGCTGCCACCACAGTTTTGCTCAGACTCCTCACTGAAACCCTTGACCACCTGGGAGCCAGTCCTCCGCCATCTGGCTGCAGGCGGCCGCTGGCTTGCTCTCCAAGTCTGATACACCACTCCTTTCTCCATGCCTTTGTTCCGCTCCAGGAAGCGGCACTGGCCATGGTGACCATCGGCCCAGCAACTGTGGCCTGTGGTTCTTTACCTGTTCTTTTCTCAAGAATGGGAAAATATTGAGGATGGTGTTTTACTCCACCCGTAACCAAACTCGGTCATCTGCCGCAACTGCTCTACCTCTGGTTTCTTCTCACACGTGTTAGCCCACAGCAACCTCAGATGGGGCAAGTCTGAATGGTCAGAGATTCCTCCTGTGGGAGTGGGTTGAAAGAAGGGAGGGAAGGAACTTACTCATTCCAGGAAGATACTCCTTCACCATTACAAGGGTCTAGTTTTGTAAACCAGCTTTTCAGAGAGCAATTTCAAAAGCAGTTAAGTGAGCAGTTCTGGTGCAAGGACTACAGACATCAGCCTATAACTTGGGGGTGGGGGGATGACAGTCCTAAGGGGGTGATTTGCATGAAACTCTCCAATGAGAGTGTCAGATGTGTGTCTTCAAAGTGCTGCAATCAAACACCTTAGACACGAGAGACGAGGTGCACGTCCGAGACACTGGCTATAGGTATCATGAAGACATTGATATCCAAGATTCTTGTAGAGAATTTGAATCAGATTGTTATTTGAAATATGAGAATGGGGAAAAAGCAATATTTTGTATTAATGTATTATTGTATATAATGTTATTTTAAATAAGCATGTGTAACTAAATTAATAAATTAGATACTATAATGACATCTGACTTACTTCATTGACATTCCTGAATGCTTAAGCACTCAGACTGAGACCTTGAATTTTTTTTTTTAATTTCTTCCATAGTGATAAAATATGGATTTGCTGCTTGTCACCTGCCAAACAGATTCCAAATTCAGACCCTGAATTACACATCTCCTGCTCTTTCCTCCACGGGTTTTTAATTCTTAGAGTCAAGGTGAACATACTATAAAATGACCTCTCCAGGGTGGACATTTGTCCTACTGGGTAAGCTGCCAGTTAGGATGCCTGTCCCACATCAGTGTGCCGGAGTTAGAATTCTTCTGGCTTCTGACTCCAGCTCCCACTCATGCAGACTCTGGGAGGCAGGCAATGATGGCTTAAGTAATTGAGTCGCCACCCAGGTGGGAAAATCAGAAGGTGTACCCATTTTCTGGCTTTTCAGAGCCACCCAGCCTCTGCCTTTTTGGGCATTTTTAGTTGAGAGACCAAGAGATAATGGTGGTATCTCTCCCTTTGAAATTAATAAAGCTCTTTACATTGATTAGGGGCCAGCTTTGTATCACAGAGGGTTAAACCACTGCTTGCAATACAGGCATCCCATATTGGAGTGCCATTTTCAGTCCTGGTAGTTCTACTTCTGATCTAGCTCCTGGTTAATGCACCTGGGAAAGCAGCAGAAGATGACCCAAGTCTGTGGGCCCCCGACACCCTTGTAGGAGACCAGGTGGAGTTCTGGCTTTTTGCTTCTGCCTGGCCCAGCGCTGGCTGTTATGGGCATTTGGTGACTGAACCAACAGATGGAAGATGTTTCTCTCCCCTGGTCTCCCCCCTCCTCCGTGGCCATGTGTATCACTCTGCCTTTTGAATATGTCAACAAATCTTTGAAGAAAATTTACAGTGCCCTCGCCCTTCACTGTGTATAAAGAAGTTTTGCTTATCTTTGAAAACTAGCTCACTTCTGCCATCTCCTGCCAAGGTCTCCCCTGACGCCCTCTCTGGCTGACTTTCCCTGGTGACTTCCCCAAACAGTGTCCAGTTTGACCTCATTGGAAGTCTGTTCTGGCCCTGTCTGCCCCATCAGATGGGAATGAGTTTTCTCAGGAACGGCCTGAGTTTGACCTCCAGGGAATATGACCCAGAAAACTGCTAGAATAAACAGAAGTGTGCTTTAAGTGGAGAGTGCTCATCTTTCTGAGTGCATCTGCCCAGCCTCTGAACTAAGCCTGCCTGTAGCTCAGGGCAGAAAGATACTTTTCTGCTCTTAGCAAGAGGCTCATCCTGAGCTGTCCCTGGGCTAGCCCAGTAGTTCACAGGGTATCATTTTCTGGTGCTCAGGGGTCCCCAAGACCTTTTGTAGAGGTCTACAAGATCAAAGTTACCTTCTTAACACTAAGATGTGGGTTGCCATGGTCACCATGTGACTGTTGGCACTGACAGTGCAAAAGCCGGAGTGGGTGAGACTTCCGTCACCTTAGCAGGAATCTGGACAGTGACACTAAACTACCAATCATATTCTTCACCACCACCTACTGGAAAGAGGAAAGCTAGTTTCCCATAGGAATGTCCTTGATGAAGCAGTAACAATCACTCATTCTACATCTCGACCCCATAGTGTGGATTTTTACTGTGTGTGACTCAATGGAAAGTCTACTTCCAAGCCAGCTTCCTGCTCGTGTGCCTTTAGGAGCAGTGAGTGATGACCAGAGGACTTGGGCTCCTGCCACCCGTATAGGAGACCCAGATGGAGTTCCTTGGTCTTGGCTTCAGCCTGGCCATTTGGGGACTGAACCAGCAGATGGAAAATTTGTTCATTCATTCATTCTCCCTCTGTGCCTTTCAAATAAATTAAAAAAAATATTTTTTTAATTTTAGAGAACACTCCTAACTATTGATTACTTCCCAAATTTCTGCAACAACCAGGGCTGGACCAGGCTGAAGCCAGGAGCTGGAAGTACCATCCAGGTCTCCCACATGGGTTGCAGGAACCCAGCTTCCTTGAGCCATCACTGCTACCTCGCAGGAGCTAGCGTGATGTGGATGTAGGCCTCTTAGCCCTAGGCCAAACGTCTGCCCCCACGGAAAGCTCTGCCACATACCCAAGTAGGATCTTTGTCTCCAGGAAAAGCACGTGTGCTGTTGTCAAGTCTTGAGCAGACTTGGCCATCATTTTCATGGACCATCATTTTTCCTTGAAAGAACAGTTGACAAAACTACTTATACTTGATATTTAAAAGACATTTTCTTGAACATGAATTAAGTGAGCCTGTCATATCAAGGAAAAGAATATTGACATAACTTACTGCCAAGGACAAAATTTGAGTCTTCAAGAACTAACTGATTTTGGCAGAGGGGTATTTGCCGCTATGAGCTTGATAATTTCCCAATGCCTATTAGTTCAGGTGAGATGTAGGTAGCAAATGTCATTTAAGATATGTGTAATACTTACCTGGCAGGGGAGATACCATGATCATGAAGGTGGTTTTCCCAGGGCGAGGCTTAGCCATTGCCCTCCAGATGTGCTGACCCCTGCAGTTTCCCCAAATGTGGGAAACTCGACTGCATAATTTGTGGTAGTGGGGAACTGCATTCACACTCTTCCCCTAATTAAAAAAAATTTGTAATACATTTGGAAGATCTGCGTAACTCAGTGAGCCAGTGTTTTCAAATGACCAAAGCATGGTGTACAAAACCGTGCATTGGTAAAAAGGATCCATTGAAAGTGCAAGATGTAATCAATAATTTTGATAGAATATGCAAAGTTCATTGATATGACCTAGATTCTATATTGTAACTAGTCTTTAAGAAACACCCACTTGGGGCCGGTGCTATGGTTTAGCAGGTAAAGCCGCCGCCTGAAGTGCTGGCATCCCATAAGGGTGCCGGTTCGAGTCCCGGCTGCTCCACTTCCCATCCTGCTCTCTGCTATGGCCTGGGAAAGCAGTGGAAGATGGCCCAAGTCCTTGGGCCCCTGGTTCTGCTTGGGAGACCCAGACAAAGCTCCTGGCTCCTGGCTTCAAATCAGCGCAGCTCCTGCTGTTGCAGCCAACTAGGGAATGAGCCAGCGGATGGAAGACACACTCTCTCTCTCTCTCTCTCTCTCTCTCTCTCTCTGCCTCTCCTTCTCTCTCTGTGTAACTCTTTATTTCAAATAAATCAATCTTTTAAAAAAAAAACACCCACTAGTCAAATTCTGATCCAGTATCATGAATATCCATCAATCCTGAAGAATCTATTGAGTTACTCCTCCCCTTTCCAACTACGTTATCAGTTTGGCCAGATTTTCTTCTACTCTAATAGCAAATACCACAGATCGAATGCAAAAAAAGATAAAGAAAATCCAGTTATCCACTTTTCTCAAAATTTGGTTTGGAAAATATCAATTTTTTCATTGTGTGTTTTATGTGCTGATTTATAATGGGCATAGTGTTGCTCATAAATAAAAATAAATATAATTTAAATTCCTTAGTTCTAAATACAGTAAATATGTCAGGAGTCTTCAGACTAAATATTTAAGAACTGCCAGATTAATTAAGGAAATGACAAAAATGCTGAAACACAGGCCAGCGTTGTGGCACAGTGGGTGAAGCTGCCTCTTCAGATGCCAAGACCCCTATCAGAGTGCTGATCTGATTCCCAGCTACTCTGCTGCTGATCCAGCTTCCTGCTAATGCACCCTGGGAGGCAGGAGATGACAGCTCCAAGTATTTTGGCCCCTGCCACCTACGTGGGAGATCTGGATGGAGTTGTAGGCTCCTAGTTTTGGCCTTGCCCAGTCCTGGCTGTTATGAGCATTTGGGGAGAGAACAAGCAGATGGAAACACATACTCACTTGCCCTCTCTCTTTTTCAAGTTGGATGAGAATAAATAAAAACAATCTTTTTTAAAAAGTGAACACAAAACTAAGGAACAGTATGGGAAAGGAATGGACAAAAGAGAAATGAAGTTGGACCAGCGTGGTGGTGCATCCCGTATCTGAGTGCCAATTTGAGTCCCAGCTGCTCGGCTTCTGACCCAGCTTCTTGCTAATGAGCCTAGGAAGCAGTGTCTGATGGCCAAAACTTGAGTTCCTCCCACCCATGTGTAAGGCCTGGATGGGGCCGGTGGTCACTAGCTAATCCTCCGCCTGCGGCACCAGCTCCCCAGGTTCTAGTCCCGGTCGGGGAGCCGGGTTCTGTTCCGGTTGCTCCTCTTCCAGTCCGCTCTGCTGTGGCCCGGGAAGGCAGTGGAGGATGGCCCACGTGCTTGGGCCCTGCACCCCACGGGAGACCAGGAGAAGCACCTGGCTCCTGGCTTCGGATGGGCGCAGCACGCTGGCCACAATGCGCCGGCCGTAGCGGCCACTTAGGGGAAAAACCAACGGAAAAAAGGAAGACCTTTCTCTCTGTCTCTCTCTCACTGTCTAACTCTGCCTGTCAAAAAAATAAAAAATAAAAATAAAAAAAGACCTGGATGGAGTTCCTGTCTCCTGGCTTCATTCAGCCTAGCCGAACCCTAGCTTTTGCAGCCATATGAGGAGTGAACCAGTGGATGAAAGATTTTCTCTCTCTTATTTCAAATATATTTGAAAATATAGTTTCAAATATATGTCAAACTCTCTGAATTTCAAATATAAATCTTTTATAAGAAGCCCTTTCAATCTTTAAAAATAAGAATGAAGAGATATGTTGTGAGAAAAAACAATTCCAAGAGAAAATTTTAAGTTGTCTAATTATATGAAAGTAAGTTTATTTAATGACAAATTGAAAATTATAGTAAGCTTTTTAAATCTTTCCACTTGCAAAATTTTGAGACTTGTCCAAATGATTTAGGAACTCAATGAGTGAAGATGAGCAAAAATTAAGTAAAACACCAATCCCAATAAATTATTTGATAATAAAGATGTTAAATATGTTTTTTAAAGAGTCCTTGACATTATTACAAGGATTCTGGACTCAACACCATGAGCAGTATTGTTAATATTAGGAGACATTCTCTACATAGTATATTCATTTTTTAAGCAGGAATATTACGACTTTATT